CCTTACAGTATCTTACTTTCACTCGGCCTGATCTTACTTATGCAGTCCAGCAGCTCTGCCTACATCTTCATGCCCCCCGCAGCACCCATCTCACAGCTATGAAGAGGGTTCTACGTTACATTCATGGGACTGCCACTCATGGCATCACACTTCACCGTACGGGCACAGATTCTTTGCAGGCCTACTCCGATGCTAATTGGGCTGGATGCCCCGATACTCGTCGCTCCACCTCGGGGTACTGTGTCTTCCTTGGAGACAACCTTATCTCATGGTCCTCCAAGCGCCAGGCCACTACCTCCCGCTCCAGTGCTGAGGCAGAGTATCGTGCCGTGGCGAACACCGTAGCTGAGGCAAGCTGGGTCCGAAATCTTCTTCTTGAGCTTCAACAACCCCTGCGGCGTGCCACATTGGTCTTTTGCGACAACATCAGTGCTGTGTATCTATCATCAAACCCAGTACAGCATCAGCGCACCAAACACGTAGAAGTTGACATCCATTTTGTCAGAGACAAGGTTGCCCTAGGACACGTCAGAGTATTACATGTCCCCTCCTCTTCTCAGTATGCAGATATTTTCACTAAAGGGCTTCCATCTCTTCTCTTCTCCGACTTCAGACATAGTCTTGGCGTCCGTCCTTCGCCGGTCACGTAGTTGGGTGCATGTTAAATATGTTAAGTATATATTTAATATTAATTATGTGATTATTGTAATTATGGTAGTTTACATGTATAGGTTTCCTTCCGTAATTAGGAATCCTCTGTAACTATTTATACGAGGCTTCTCCCTCGTTATTCATTAATAGAAAATAACTATTCTTCAAAGGGGATGGAAAGGAAGAAAAAGAAAAAAGTTGACATGGCGCTGCGTTGGTAGGAACGGATGATGTGTTTAGACCTGCAAAAAAATGATTTGACATGTTTTTTACCTGAAACCCGACTCGAAAAACTCTGGTTGGGAACAAAGGTTTTATTGATCGAACTCAAAGATGACCGAACCCGAAAAGACCTGCTAAAAATGGGTTAAACTTAATCGAAACTGAACTCGACGTGACCAACCCGCTAATGTAAGAATTTTTCAAAATCATATACGTTAATATGAAATATGATGTTTTAAAAATAAGATTATAATTATACTCCGTATTTCTTTTCTTACTAGTTTTAAATGTATAAATTTTTATATTTTCAGACAAAATTTTAATGATATCACATAATTATCTTACTTTTTCTCAAACTTTTGCATATTCAGTTTTTTTTATTCGTAATATAGATTTATAAATCTAAAAAATATTTAAAATTTCAAAAACATAATAAAAGTCATAACTCGTTGGGCCGACCTGAACCTGATGACTCTAGATCATGAACATGTAGTTCTCAACCCGAACTCAAACTTACCTATACTAAATCTAAAGTAATTAACCTGAACCCAAAGTGACCGAACTCGAATTCGACCAGACCGACCAATTTACTAGTTCTAGTTGTGATCCACACCATCTACTCTTAGAGAAATGATATAGCATCACAAATTAAAAGGTCACAAAACAAAGAATAATTCTATAATTGGTTTTCTGAAATGAAAGTTTTCATACTTTGTCCTCAATTGCCAAATATTATGTATGGGGTCCTCCATTTATGGATACCTTTTCACGGGAAATTATTTTTTAACCTTATGCCATATTTGTATTAAACTGAAGACTAAAATAATAATTTCACGTCGACTATATGTCCTACCATATATTCTTGTATCGGCTTTGCCGATAAAACAACAACAATGGTATGGATGCACGCTTGGATTCCGAACAGCAACCACAACCATGAACTATATATTTTTGCAGCAAGGGGCAACTCCAACGGATGAATGACACATCTCGAGTGACCTCTAACTCTGATATTGGTCATGGCAAGGAGGATGTAGGGCCCGCCTGAAATAACACTTTTGTTCCATAATTTAACAGCAACATAATGGAAGGTAAGAGTAAAGACTATTGGTAGAAGGTAGACATAAACAAAGGATCGCAAATATCATATTTGATCATAAAAGACAAAATACAGAATACTTATGTTTTATAAACAAATAATAAAATTTACTCTAAATTAAATTTACAAAGTTATCATTTTGAAATGTTCATCTCCAGCTTTTTTGTTTATTTTGACCATTCTGTTCTTTTAGTGAGATTCACAAATAATAAATTGTAAATTTTGTTAACTTTTGTTTGTGACACTAACATTTCTCTTCCTCTGACGCGCTACTTTTACACTACTTTTGGAAATATTTGTAGACATTCTTTTAGCTGCAATGCCTACAACGTCCAAAAACAAAAGGCCTCTGTTCTTTTGTATTTGAATCTTAATTTCTAACAGTCTTTATCTCTTCCAATTGATTTTAACCCTTTTCAGTTATTTTCAAGTTCTTTTAATTCCTTCATAGTCTTTTAGTATTTTCGAATCACTATTTTCTTTCAAATTTTTCTAGTTTGTTCTATTTTCTTCATACTGCTTGTTACTTCTTCAAATTCTTTCAAACAGTCACTTAACACTAATTTACGTGTATTTTTATATTATTTTTATTTCAATTATTATTATTATAAATGTACAAAATGGATATCGTGTAAGTTATCAAATGTATACTTCGTATATGATTAATATACAATTACATCGTACATCCAATATGTCTTTGCTGTTGTTGTTGTTATTATTATTACGGAGTATTATTATTATTATTATTATTAATTAGGAAGTGGCTATTTATTGAATTGTCAAACTAATTAAAAGTATTTCTCGATACTGGTTTGGACCAATATTGGTCTTGCTTTTATAACGACCAATGTTTATAGGTTCTACTTTGAAAATATCAACACTAGAGTTTTTTTTTTAAAAACAAGACTGGAGATTATATGCACCAATTTTTCTATCTTTAAAATTGAGGAATAGAAAACCTTCAATATTCATTTCACCTCGGGATCGCTGCTTTAGTTTCCCTTTTGCTATTCCCCCACCCGAAAAAGAAACAAAATCAATTTCTTTAATTTGGTAAGATACTAGAAAAATAAAAAAAATATGCTCCCTCCAAATCAAAATAAATTAACCTCACCAATTTTTCAAAAAAAAACTGCTTTTGCACCCTCAAAACAACGTACACAACCGCTTGGTTTATTTTTGTGAAATTTGCAGTAAATAGTACTAAAATATACTCCGTATGTCATTTCTCAACATAATATATACTTAAACTTTTTATTCTCTAAATAGTACTTCAATAATATCTATAGCAGGAACAATGTCAATGATGTTGGACATTTAATTAATTTGAACAATGAGCAATGGACATTGAACTCTGGTACTGCATTAGAAAATAAAAACATATGATATTATATTTGGAAAATTACTATATTTTAGTAATATTTAGGTAAATTCCTCTTTATTTTATTTAATGTTGTTGCTCACAATTTGGCATTTTGACTAGGCCTATTGAGGATCTTCCACAATTTCGGGGCACTACTCCACCGGACGTTATTTCTATTCACTTGGTTTAATTGAATTATCTTCTTTCAAAAAAAATACATTTTCATGTTGCAAAATAATATTAAAAATTTTATGAAATAAAAAATGAAAAATTTATTTTATTGTATCAAATGATCAATGAAAACTTGTAAATAAATAAAAACATCGGAATGACAGAGTAGTAACCGTGCAATTATTTTAGAAAAGGTAGTATTAAAAAGAAAGTAAATTATGTACGAGTATATTGTTGAATAAATAGGAAAGAAAAATATGAAACTTATTTTTAGTAATACTCGTATTTCTTGATAATTACTCCGTAAAAGTTAATCATGGGAGCATGTAACAATAAACTAATCATTAATTACTTTTTAGGAGCTTGATTTTAGTGGATTAATTTCTTTGTTCTTGTTATAGTTGGTGGCTCGTGGGGTGTGAGACCCACTTTTTTGAAAATAGGGAAATTGAAAAGGTGAAAAATCCAAAATGAAGTGGAATATTTAATGTGGGTAAACTACGGTAAACACACGCTGACACGCTAAAAAGCATTGGTAAGTTCATGAGAAGTCCCTTAATTTAAAAAGTTGATGTGGAGTTTATGAAGAGCTTATGTGAAGTCTAAGATCACGTTCTCTTCACTTGATCTAATTGATTCTGATCTGATTGAAATAAATTTTGATTTGATAGCATCTGATCTGGTTAAATATGATCTGAATATAGTTATATTTAAAACTAAATCTATCTAATCAGATCAGATTTGATCTAATTCTAATAAAAATAAGTGATAGGTAAAAAATAAGTTAGAGAGATGGCCTAAGTGGACCATAGATTACTTAAGTTATCAGAGTCTGGGTTCCTTAATTAAGAACTTCCCCTATGCAACAGCCACTAAAGGTGCTCTAAGACCTTTCATTTACTATTGGTTTTTCAAACTTTTACGGTACAAACAAAACAAGTTTTAAGTTTTTTACTCCTTCTGTCCAAATTTAAATCCCTTATTTCAATTTACGATATTGATTGAAACTATTTTCGAATCATTATATATAAAAATGGTGTAGAATTAAAAAATAAAAATTATATATTTAAAAACAATATTAAAAGATCTACAAAACTACGAGAGACATGACTATACTATTTTATCAAATGACTGATGAAAATATGAAAAGAAAGTAATAAAATCAGAACTTGTGAACAGTATACATGCAGTTTAATTTGAGACATAGAGAATCATTCATATATTTAAAGATTGATATAAAAATAAATAATAAAATTTAGATATTTAAAAAATACGTTAAAAGTTTTACAAAATAAGAGGAGACAAGAATATATTATTTTACCAAATAAATAATGGAAATACACTAATAAACAAAAGTTCACATGAGTTTTGAATAATGAAGTGAGACATTCTTTTTGGAACGGAAAAAGTATTTAACTTTGTAAAATGAAAAGGAGATGACATGATTACATTATTTTATCAAATGAGTGAATGACTAAGGAAAATAGGTTAAGAGAGAGATGACATGATTACGTTATTTGTTTCAGTCTAAATACTTTACTTGATATCCGTACATCGTTCACCAAATTTTTTGGTGTTGTTCAAGCGGAGGACTTTGAGAAATACCTGGGTTCTGTTCTGGGGTGCAACAAGGTGAAGGTATTTTCTTCTGGACAAGATTCGTCAATGCTTGTGTTTGTGGAAAAGGAAGACCCTATTTAAATCGGGTAGGGAAATTCTCCTCAAGAGAGCTGCCCAAGCCATGCCTCGGTTTGCTACGAGTGCTTTTCTTCTTGCTCCATCTAAATGCTCTGCTATTGAAAAATTGATGAATACTTTCTGGTGGGATGATTGTGGTGGCAATGACAGAGGCATTCATTGGATGTCTTGGGAGCAGATGGCATTTTCTAAAAAGTTTGGGGGATTGAGCTTTCGTGATATTTGTGCCTTTAATGTGGTTATGTTGGGCAAACAGGGATGACGGTTCCTCATAAACCTGGACTCTCTCGTCCTGAGGGTGTTCAAGGCTAGATATTTCCCCGTTTCGATGTTCCTTGAGGCAAAGAAGGGTGGAACACCTAGTTTTTGTTGGAAAAGCATCATGGCTGCTCAAGATCTAATCAAAGGGGGGCATGGCGTTGTCTTGGTGTGATGGAGGAGAAACTAAAGCATGGGGCATACCATGGTTGAGAGATGAGGATGTCCCTTTTCTGATCTCAAGTGATAATTTAACCACAGATTCCATGGTTGTAGTAGATTTCATTAACCCAAATTCAGGCTCGTGGAATATTGAGGTGCTGGAGCAATGGTTGAAGCATGGAAACATTGTGTGCAGATTTTGAGAATTTCAACCAACAATGGTAGGAAGTATTGTAGGTATTGGTTTGGAGATCCCCAAGGAACTTATACGGTCAAGACTGCGTCGTTTGATTGAAGGCTCTACAGGCGTCCACCTTTACTAGCTGGGGCAGGCTTTGGCGAATCCCGATTGCTCCCGAAGTCCGTATTTTTTTTTTGTGGAGGGTCGGTCATTAGAGGTATCCTTCCTACAAAGGATGCTCTTTTGACGAAGGGGTGGTGGTGGTGGATTGCAGCTATCCTATGTGCAGGGAGAATGGAGAGACTAGTTTCAAAGTCGTCGTCAAACTGAATCACTGTCGCAGCTCAAGATCACTTGCTTGGACTTGCTGGGCTATTTGGCAGGCAAGTAACTCAGGCATTTGGGATCATAAGGAGGCCACGCCTTTGGCAACGAATCAACTTGTACAGACGATGGATAGAGAATGGACTAGCAACAGGATTGATGCTCAGCATCCCCAAGAACCGCGCTCTGAACAAATCTTCCGACCTAATGCTATGAGATGTTTCATGGATGCCGGAATGTTCCCATAGGAGGGCTGCATCTCATTCAGCTGTGTTTTGTTTGATCCCGGGGGAGTACTTGGCAGCAGCAATTGTCCAAAAAAATGAGGGTTGAACTCCATAACAAAGGTAGATAAGGCGGATCTCCCGAAATCCCAAACAGAAAAAGAATGGTAGTCGGTTTTAGGTCCTTTTCATGATTGTTCAATGCTTATTGTGACCAGTTCAGGACTGGGAACCAAAACTGCACCAGGAATGAGGCCTACAATTTAAAAAAAACACCAATTTGCATGTACCATAAAAAGAGCAGGTACCAAGTACCAAACAACTCTTGTGCAAATAATTTAATGACCAACACAATGGGCCTTGTTACAGAAGACCCAATTCCATTGAACTTTTTACAGATGCATAGCAAGGCACACTGCAATGACAATATAATTGAGTAGTAATTTTTTTTTAGCGAACGATAATAATAGTAATACTAACAATAATAATAATAATAATAATAATAACAAAATCCCAGCCATTTAAAGTTTAGACAAAGTAAATGGTACAAGAACGACATCCAATGATATCATTTCATATACTTCTGAAGAAACTTGCGATGGAAGTCGTTTCGAATTGTGTCATTGATGAAACGCTTTGGAGTTTTTGTTTCTCCTCTGGCCTGGTTCTTGAAGACCACATCATCATCCCACCTAAGTAAAAGAATAGATCAACATTACAAAGGATTAATTAAAAAAATTAAAGCGCAATTAAAGATAATACAAGAGTATCGACCTCCTCTTCACATTAAATGATGTTGGCTGGTTTATGAGTGGATTTCCTTTTAAGAGTTCAGCTTCTTTTGCTTTGAGATCTTCTTCTTGTTGTTGTCGTTCCTGCAAGTACCAACACATTAATTATAACTAAAGAAAAATTCAGTGGTTCACGCTATTACACAGAACCAAATAGAAGTATAACTCGGGCTTCGGAGTCTCATATTGCAAACTTAAAAAGTTAAAAAAATTTGTTAAAACTTGTATAAGTGTCATTATGAAGTTGTGTCAGTTGTGTTACTAGGCTAATGGGCGCACTTGAATTATTCTCTTTACACTTTGACCATACATTCACTTTTAGTGAAAACAGGTCAAGGACACATCCTAGGCACTAGCTAATAGTCCTCCACATCAATTTTTCTTGTAATCTGCACTATTAGATGGGCAGTTGATCAGGCAGGCAGACTGGTAACAATGGCTATGCGGCGAACTAGGTTGGAAACAATGAACAATTAACATAACAAAGGATAAAAAATTTACTTTACGGATTTTTTCATCTGCTCTTTCTTTTCTTATCTGACAGAGCTCAGCCATGAGAGCTTCCTCATCATCATCGTCATCATCGTCGTCATCATCCGCACTAATCATGGGGAAAAGTAGATATTTTAGGAAAATTTTTTACACAACTTTAAATGCATGAAAGAATGTGGAGGGTCAGGTCAATAAACGCATGCATGCAATTGTTTTGGATTTATTTTTGTTGTTAACAGAAGATGTAAAGAGAGATTTAAAATTATACCCCCTCCGTCCAATAAAATCTTGTAATTTTCCATTTTTCTTTGTCCCAAAAAAAAAACTTTCTTTTTAATGTAAAGAATGTGTGGTTAAGAAAATTTTTCTCCTCTTAACCATCTAACCACACCTTTTTTTCATTTTCCAACACTTCTCTTAGACTCCGTAAAAGTCAAGTGAAAGATTTTTTATGGGACGAAGGGAGTATAATTTGATCTGCGAACAGTTCCGGCTATCATTTAGCAGTCCAATAAAGAAGAAAATTTCTCACATCCAAATCAACTGACTATGATGATCGATGGTAAAAGATAACATGATATCGGAGAAATGGTCCTTATGCCACAAGCTAGAGTTTACAAATCCAAGTTGCTCAGTGTTGTGGAAATAAGTGGAATGCATGTCAGGAGACAATGATAATAATAAAAAAACATCATCATCATAGTTACCTATCGCCATCACTGTTCACATCGACATCTGCATCATCAGCATCAGCACTACGTGGAACAATTCGATCTTCGGTTTCTCTTTTAGAACCTGTTTGCATCATATCGAAATTTGAGAAACAGAAATTCAAAGGTCTCAATCACAAACACACTAGTAACACAATCTAACATCACTAACCTTCTAAAAGGAGATAATTACTTTTTCTACGATCCCTGTCCTCTGTAACAGTGCAACCATAAAAATCAAAGGAATAAGCAGTTAAACAGCATTATGTATGAATGACTATAAATACTGAATACATGTATTCATATGCATTGTGGGAGATAGGGATGTAATGAGAAGAACATGGGCTCTATATACCATTGTAGCCCTTTTCTTTTGAAGAGAAATGCCTTGATTCACGTTGTTCAAGTTCCTCTCGAAGGTTCCTCTTCTGAATTTCTTCTTGAGTTTCTTGTCCTTCCTTTCTGCGCAACATACCCAACCAAAACATGAATATACCGGCCAAATGTAGGAATGGTTTAGCCAGTAAAACATAGGCCCCGCATAGACAACAAAAGCCAAATCCATGACATTGACTAACTTGTAGGATAGTCATTTCAAAAGACAGAGTTCAGATCAAATAACTGTCTTTTTTATCAGAAAGAACTCAGAACCATTGGGTTAAAAATATAATTGGACAAGGTATATGAACTTACGAAATGCAAGAGAAAACATGGGGCTAGATAAAACTGGCAGTGCTCTGTTGGAAAACAAGATAGTTTTCTCCTACAAAGACAACTACGCATGCCCCCCCCCCAACTCTTGAACAATAAAATGAATTATATGTTGGGATCACGTAAAAACCTCAGCTTCAACGTTGTATGAGATGCAATGTCTCTAGAAGAGTATTTCTGAGAAGGGCCAAAAATCCGAGCCCCGCCTTGCTCACTTCCACCCTTAGCAGGTGCCCACGTAGGTCTTGCTGCGGTCGTCATGTTGTAATGAAGTCTGATTCGATAGGAAAAAGAACAATTGTCATAACACATATACATGCCTTCTTAGAGAAGGCAAGAAAATAAAAAAAACTATACACAAATTTGCCAAATTCCCCACCAAAACTAACTGAAAAAATGTGTAAACTTACTAGGAAAAAGGACAGGTGGGGCCTTTCCTTAATGGTCTCAAGTTTTTTTCCTTGCGTGTTTGTCAAACTCAATAATATGCATAAACATTAGTCTCTTCTGTTTTAAACAATGTAAGGGAAGCAGTAGTTATGTACAAAGTATAAAATGGTGTGTTGCGCACTTGAGGAAAATTGCTGGCATTGTATATCATGTAAGCTTCATCGCCCAATTAGGCGCAAGGCTCAATTTTTAATTTTTAATTCATTTTTAAAAGTTACCAATTATATACAAAATTATTAGAATATCATGATAAAATTTTATTAAACTTCAAAAAAACATATTCATATCCAACACCAACAAGGTGATAAGGGGAACAAAAAGATTGATATACCTTGAAAAAAACATCATAGAATCTGAAAGTCTAAACTAAAATAATTGAGGGAAGCTAGAACAAGTTAAACTCCTTAAAATAAAACATAAATGAATTGGTTGAAGTTAGTTGTGCAAAAAAAATTGAATTAAGCGGAAATGGGTATAGAATCTATCGTGACGTGCCAAATTAAACAAACGATATCTGCATCCCATAAAAGTGGAAGTATGCTTATATCCTGGTCAGAATTGCATTTGAGGGAAATCGAAAGTTGAAGTCGTGAAGCAAAGTCAGAAGGGCAGTGTAGAGCAACTTTTAATTTACTCAATTTAAATTTACTTTGGCAGCGCTAGTGGCAACTGGCAAGCAAGGGTCCAATTCACAAGGTGAGTGCATTTCGTAAGCCAACAGTCTTAAATGAAAGAGCAAATGAATCTAAGGGGGTGTATTCAATATAGATTTTGCAGGACTTTTTTGTATTCTAAGAGGCTATGTATATTCAATTAGGATTCTTAGAAGTCATTTAAAATCTCAGGGTATTCAATTGAGATTTTAAAATCATTCTAAATTTGATAGTATTGAAAATTCTATAGATATAATAAGATTTTTATGAATAATAGATTGTGATGGATTTTAGGTGAGTAGTATAAATAGAAATCCATAAAACAAATCTTTCTACAAACCTAAAGATTTTGAGTCTAGGGTTGAATCTAAAAAGCAGAAGCACGATGATGGGAGACCATTGAGTCTAGGGTTATTTCTTGAAACTAGCTGCTAGACTGAGCTAAATAGGGGGTGCGAAGGGGATGACTTGAGATGGGGAAAGCTACTTCACTTCTGCGATTCATGCCAACTTCTTCTGCGATTTTGCTATCTAAAGCGAAATGAAGGACGGAGCTTATGACTCGGAGAAGCAATATTGAACAATAGATGCAGGCCAATCTGTTAGGAGAAGAGATTGAGAGAATGACACGTATAGAATCTGAACAATCGAAGAAGAAAATGAACCGATGTAGGGATAAAAAGAATTGATTTTTATTTTGAACGAATCTTAGTTCTTTATTAATCAATTTTGAGATTTTAAAAGACTTGAATCCTGGTGGCGGCGGCGGCATGGTAGTTGAGCCGGCAGAGGAAAAAAAGGAGAAGAAGAGAGATAGCGGCTCCTGGGGAGAAAGAAGGAAGAAAAAAGAAAAGAAAAGAAGGAAGAAAAAAGGAAAACATAATCCATGGATTATATATAATTTTCCACAACCCTATAAAATCTTGCTGATAAAATACATTAAAATCTATCTAACTCTGCGTAGACTTAAAATAATCCATTGAATTTATAGAATCCATGAATTCTAAACAATCTATCAAAATCTTTTAAAATCTAGATTGAATACACCCCCCTAAGTAAACACTCTAACAAAACAAAAAAATAGAAGCTAAAACAGCTTTTTGGAGTGGGGGGGGGGGGGTTGTTTCCTTCCATTTTCCTAGATTTCTATATGTAAGAAAAATAACTATTGAAAATTAAAATGCTCTAGAAAAGAAAAAACAAGTGTTGACTAATAAAAAACAAATAGCCTTGGTCTGTTTGTTGGGACAAGGAATGTGGCAAAGAGCCAAATCATTGACCAAAGATATTTTTTAAATAAAAAAGGTAACGGGTGTAGGAAATCAACACCAAAGAGCTAACTGATTGCTCCTACCTACTCCTTAGAGTCTATTAGTCCTCTTTAAACACCAGTGCCTCTATTATTTCTCATAGTAGTTTAAGTTAGCAACCCTAAATTACTAGTAATAATAGTGCATTAGGTATAGATGGGCATGACCCTGAACCCACAAAACCCGCACGGGTGGTCTGTTGAGGGAAGTTGTTTGGTAAAGTTGATCAATTACTAACTCTAGCTAAGAGGCCCAAAACCTTTTGTTTGACAACTAGCTAGAGTTATCCTAGTACAAAGGTAACCAATACAACCAATTAGCTACTTTGGTGTACCAATTACAATCAAATAAATCAATTTAAGGTCAATGAAAAACATGCTTTTAGGTTTTAAAGCCATTAAAGAACAAAATCAAACCTTAAAGGCTTATTTATACAATCTTTTTCCCAATTCCCAATCAAACAAACCAAGTAGTGACACTACTTACAAATTTTTATTCTGAAAACACAAACGCAGATTTGAAACTGAAAAAAGACATTTGTGAACAGATTTAAAGCTGAATCAGACACGATACACAGAAATACTGCAATTTCAGACAGATTACACCAGATTCAGACGCAAATTCAAAGTATATTGCAGATCCAGTTTTAAAACACAAATATTGTTCATTTTCGAACAGAGAATCGGAAGACCGGACACAAAAATCGATCAAACAACACACGTTTCACTGAACATAACTCAGATCCGGACTGAATCCGCGACTATATTTCAGTTTCGAGCTGATAGAACTCAAATCCGAACACAACCACACACAAATTCAAAAAGTTCACTAACTTGTTACCCTCGTAGATGCGCTCGTAAACGAGATCGGCCGAACTTGAGTCCTCGCGAACGCGCTTGTGTCTGTGATAACCCTAACCGAGATCCTATCCGTGATCGTGTGTTGGAACGCGCAGGGAGCTCGCCGGAGACGGCGGAGTTTCACCCTACCCTTTTGCGTTTGCTCTATCTCGCTCTGTCTACACGAGAACGAAAAATGCAAGAAAAAAATATTTTTAAAAAAACGAAATTGTGACCTTTTGACTCCTTGACCAAAATTGATAAAAAGAATATAAATATATCTTGTGTTCCATAATTATTTTCTTTTTTAAAGAAATCTATGGGTGGGCATGTTTGAGAATTTAGGATTTTAAAAAAATCGTAGCATGCGGTTAATATTTAACGGTTTGATACAGTTCGATATTACGCATAAACTTGTTCGGTATCATATCATTTGAAAAATGGAGAATATCATGTCATGCTAATGTCAAATCATACCATAATATTTCACCGCTTTGAAAATATTTTTATTTATAAAAAATAAATGGCGTAATTAAAAAATGGTGCACTATTTTTATGAATTTTTATCCAATAAATATATTGTTTAGTTACAATTTTTGACAAACATGATTGTAGTTTGAATTTTCGAGAAATAAAGTTATAATTTGAGTTGAGCTTGCTAAAAGGTAACAAATGAAAATGTATTACTCCCTTTTTACAGTTATAATTTGAAATGTTTTAGTGTGTTTTTTTTCTTTATTAAATCCTTTTTTTTTTTACCTTTTTTTAGTTAGCCTTAAAAAAAATTTCCTCAAATTTTTAGTAAGGAGCAAAATGGGAAGTCAAAGGTTAAAATATGAAGTCCTTAAAAATGGGAAAAAGTCAATGTGGGAAGGTTGATTTAGGACGGAGGGAGTATGAGTATTATTTATGAAGTGATAATTTTACATTTTTGTGGTAGCGAATAGCGATCCGGTTCTAAATTTTCACTTGAGAACCCGTATTGTACCATCTTAAAAATGATTTGATTTGTTTCGGAATATATAATTACTAGAACTGTTTGAAAATTCGTTTTTCAGTTTGGTACAATGTGAATCCGTTTCGGAATATTCTTATTATACTTTTTAAGGATTATTTTAACATTTTTTGCTCTTATTTTAAAATTACTCTTTTTTCAAGTTGAAAATTTGCATCTTTCTTCAAGTTAGTACACCAAAAATGAAAACTTAAACATTTTTCATTTAATTTAAAAAATACTCCGTATGTTTATTTACATTTTTTTCTATAAAGAATATAATGCAATGTATTTGTCAAACTTTAAATTATACACAACTGTTTAGAAAAGTATTAATGGATGCATGCACATATACTCTAATGACTTTAATACTTCAAATATGATTTGAACTTGATGTCATAGGAAGTACGTACCTTATGTACGTTATTGTTCTATTAATATTTAAGACCTATAATGAACATACCTCATCCTCATCAAATCAATAAATTGATCACACTTTTTATTTTATTCTATTTTAATAAATAAGTAAATAAATATTCTTCGTATAAATAATTAAAGAATCCTAATTGAATAGGGTTGAAGAATTGTGGTGCTGAGAAGATGGCACCTCATTTCTTCATGTGTTTCACCCTATTTATCGGTGCCTATTTAATCATCTCATTGCAAGGTTATTAATTTCCTTTAATGCTTTAATTTTTATTAAAATTTAATACTATTGTCAGATAAATAAACCCTTTTGAACACGTACTCCAACCATGTATTCCGTATTATTTGCCACATATTCATCCTTAAGCCAATATTTAAGTGTACGTTCTTTTATTGAATATATGTCACGAGAGATTGATCAAATTATCATATAAATCTTAGTCAAAATTTAGACAATTTGAGTACAAATCCATAACAAAGAACATATGCATTGTTGTAAGTGGCCATCAATATTTGTTCTTATCTTTAAACTCGTCTAAATATTTAGTTTCTCTGAAATCATGATTCCTCGATCTCATCCTTATTGTTAGCGGCCATCTTGTGAGGCTATGATGCTCAAGGTTCAATTTCTTTGGACATAGAATTAGGTTTGCCAATAAAGGATGTTTTAAAGTTGTTATTCTTGTTGCTTATGCAATGCAGGAATCGTAGAGTATGATTATTCAGCTCCAACAGAGGTAACAAAAAAAACATCTATCCATATATAATTCAATAGAGTACACCTCTTCATCTTGAAAAAATATTTTACACTTTGACTCATATAAAAAAGTACGGTTGAAATTTGTTTCGAAGAAAAATAAATGTTCTAAGCCAAATATTGCTCGTAAAAGGAAATATGAGAAGTGTGAAATTTATTATGAGATAAACAAAATTATGAAGTTTTGATGAGGAAATGTTATTTATTAAAAAACAACACTAAATACTCTATTGAGAGCCATGTTTCCTAAAATGGAAAAAAGCCATAATTACCTCCAAGGCTGATCCTACCCTTTTGTTATTTTCAAGTATATGGATTCACAATGTATGGTGGTGTGAGTGATCGAATACATGTTTCTGAAAATAAAAGTAAGATAAGACTTAATTTAGATAGATATCACACTCCTATTTTTTCCTTAAAAAGTAAAGAATAGATGTCCTACAAAGTTATCTCTTATAAACCAATTTCACCCGCGTGCCTTTTATTTTTAAATTTTTCCGTTGAATTTCGTAAAATCAGACAATGTACGGAAGTTCTTTTCGAAAAAGAGAGTAAATGATGAGTACATTTGTAAGCAGTGTAGGCAGCTACCTGAGAGACCATTGTATGATGGAGGGCTTCTCAAGGACCAAGAAGTTGATTACCAATGGGTTAGAAATGAGTGGGGATATAGGGTGTACGTCCCGGCTTTTATCCTACCCGACCTCGTCCCTGGCACTTATTATACATTTTCCAGTTAAGAATATTCCTCTAACTCTTCTTCTTCTTCGTTTAGAATTCGTCGTTTTTTTCTTTCTTTCAATAACGGAATCAAGAAAAGTTGTAGAACGTTTTTGAACCCGGGCATTGTAGGCTGGGTGAAGGCTAGTGGAGGCGATGGCAATTCAACGGTTGTATGGGCAAACGTGGGGTCCGGAGGAGGAAGCGTTTGTGGTGCCACAGTGATTGCCAACCAAGGATGTTGGAGCTTTCTCAAGGGGGGATTTTACTTGAACCAAACCCTCAACACATCTGTCCTTCACTTTGAGGTGCACAATGATCCATATATGATGAATATACAATGTCCCATATATGATTCTTGACAAGCAACCAATTAACTTTGTTCTTTTGAACGTTTGTTTGTAGGACTTCAGCGGGAAAAACATCCACATAGATGTTGCGAGTGGTTCGTTGCAACCATTCTCCGAGGAGGAATGGGTGGCACACCAACAAGAGATGATTGCAAAGGTAATTAATGATTAACCACATCAGACCCGACCAAACCGTTGCGAAACGTCAACCAAATATTTGTCTTTGTGTTGCAGGTGAGGAAACGGGAGACTGTAGTGACAGTAGTATCAAGTGAGGAGCAAGGAGGAGTTAAACTTCAAGGAGCCAACATTACAGTTGAGCAAATCTCTAGAGGATTTCCCTTTGGAGCTGCCATTTCTAAAGCCATCCTTTCAAACCCACAATATCAGGTAATATAGGCCTTGTTTGGAAACAACGTTTTTCAATTAAGGTTCAAGCTAAATTGTGAAAGTATTTTTGGCGATGACCATTTACAGGAGTGGTTCGTGAGGAAGAGATTTGGGGTGACGGTGTTCGAGAACGAGCTGAAATGGCCAGCAACGGAGCCGATTCAGGGGAAAGTCAACTACACCATCGCCGACCAAATGGTAGATTTCGTGACGAAGAACCAAATCCTCTGTCGAGGTCACAACGTGCTGTGGCAGGACCCCAATTTCACGCCGTCGTGGGTTCGCAACCTGACGACGTCGCCGGATCTACTCCGGCAGGCGGCGGAGTCCCGCGTCCGCAGCGTCGTGGGGCGGTACACGGACAAGTTCATCCACTGGGACGTCAACAACGAGATGCTCCACTACGCCTTCTACGAGGAATCTCTGCGTGATCCAAACGCGTCCTTGGAATTCTACAGGATGGCTCAGGAGATCGACCCCAACGCCACCCTGTTCCTCAACGATTTCAAGCTTGTCGAGTCATGTGGCCACCGGAGCAACGTCGACGCTTACGCCGCCAAAATCAATGAGTTCCGGCGGGGCGGGATCCGGAATCTAGGGATGGGATTGGAGGGGCACTTCTTCGATTCCGCGAATCCGGTCTACACCAGATCCGTTCTCGACAAATTGGCAACCCTAGGAGTCCCCGTCTGGATCACGGAGGCCGACACCACCGGGAAATACGGGCCGGCGAGCCAGGCGGCGGATCTGGAGAAGGTCTTGAGGGAGCTCTTCTCGCACCCCAGCGTGGACGGAATCATACTCTGCGTGGCGATGAGCCCCGCCGGGACGTGCTGGCAGATGTGCCTCACCGACGAGAACTTCAACAACACGCTCGCGGGAGACGTCGTCGACAGGCTCCTTGGTGAGTGGTACACCGGCACGCTCGCCGGCGTCACAGACGGGGACGGCGTTTTTAGCTTCTCCGGCTTCTTGGGAACGTATAAAGTGACGATCGAACATCCCTCCGGTAATTCATCTGGAACTGTAATTTCGCTCACCAAAGGTGAGGATCCTCTCCATTTCCAAATCCAGATCTGATAGATTCAAACTGTATTATTCTTTAATCTACAATGGAATAATTTAAAGAAGAGATTGAACTCTTTACATTCAAATCAATCATTTACATTTCGAAGTGTATGATAATGAGAGAAAATTAAGGCCCCTTTTGCTACACGAAATTCAAACTATGAAATTGGAATTGAGAGCTTCAATTTCAATTTTGGTGTTTGGTAGTTCAAATATTATGTAGATTTGGAATTGATAGTGCAAAATATGAATTGGAATTGGTGAATTCAATTCTATGAAATTGAATTACATGGAATTTCAATTTCAATTCCATTCCGTATACCAAAATGAGCCTAAAGAATTTCATATAATTGAATTAGGGCCTATTTGGGAATAGCGTTAGAGATTAGCGTTAGCGTTTTGGATAAAATTTTAACAGTGCAGATTATTTTGAAAACATTAACGCTAAACGCTGTCCGTAGATAGCATTTTCAAAACGCTAACGCTAATAGCTAAAGTTATTCCCAAACAGGCTCTTAAGCTATTTGTACCTGTACACTGTAGGTATGCACCTTCGTTTTGTGTCAGACTGTAATGCTAGGGTGGTTGTTCACACAGACACTAATTGTTAGTGCAAATTTTTATTAACACATCAACATTTTGTGTTAGTATGAACCATCAAAATGTTAGTGTATGTCTTTGGTGTAACATAAGAGTACACTTTTTGGTGTAAGTGTAGCATGATTGTATAGAATTTCCTGCACAATAGTTAAAAGTTACTCCTTTACACTAACATCAACTTCAACGAGGGATAATGAGCCATGATTAAATATGAAGAGGAATAATGTACACTAATAAAAATATGGAAAATTTACTTAAATAACACTAAGACATAATGATTTTTTTCTAAATAGCACCATATGTATTTTTTCTCAATGTAGCACGTTTAGTTAATATCCATTAGTTATTATTCAAGTAAATATATGCCATCACTGGATATTATTTCTCCTTTTGGACATTCTTAAGTGTTATTTAAGTTATAAAATAATTTAAATGCTATTCAGAAAAATGATTAAATTTTTACTACTATTAGTATTTCTAAAAATATGTGTAGTATGGTCAATGCGAAAAAGTGATGAAGTGTGAAAGTTTGAAATTTTTTATTTAGTTGGGGTGGAAATGTGTTAAATTTTACTCCGTAATTGGTTAAAATTGAAAAAGAAGAACGGTAACACTAGTCACGTTCAAAGGGGTCGTGCCCCTCCAACATGGTGTTGCGTCCGGTCGCGCGAACCGCGTCACTCACGTCCTCCTCCATCTCCCTCGAATCTTTTAGTCTAACGAGTAACTAGTTGGGCCTTGTTAGGTGCAGTCGTGCAGAGTGCAGACATTCTTCGAGGAGATAATTGAATATTAAGAAAATAATCAAACTTATTACTACGTATGTTTTTTAGAAATTGTCTAAAATAAATCAGTGAGATCCTATTCAAAACAGATAATATCTAACTAATACAAGATTGAGGTCAGGGTTCGCGTCATCACAGCACATGGTATCAATGGGCAAAGATCACAAGTTTGGTGTTCGTCGGCATGAAGAGATGTTTGTGGGGTGCAAATATGCCTCCACACTAGACATGTGCAAATAAGGATCCGAGCCGGATCTGAGCCGGGCTTGATACAAATTATTAGCCCATTTGCATGGGCGGGTTTGGCCCGGCCCGGATTTGATGGGCTAAATCTTTACCCATACCCGCCCACCTAAGCGGGGCAAACTGCCCATCGGGCCGCCCGGCCCGGATAAAACATCAAGAAAATCTTTTTTACACAAAAAAATCAAAAAGAAAATATTGAACTCGTTTTCAAATGTTTAAAATAAAATTACCACTCACCACATTTACATAGAAAACATAATAGAAATATTGTTACATAATTAATAAACCCATCATACAGATTCATTAAAAGACTATTGATTTTTGTTTAAGAGGGGTGAGTGATATGAACTATTATACATGAATTAAAGAAAATTTTAAAATTTATATTGTCTAGATAAATAATAATAAAGTAAATGTATTTAATGAATATGGGCGGGCCTGTTGTCCGGATGGGCTAAAAGTAACTTCCAAATCTGCCCAAATACAATTTGGGCTCGGGCCGGCCCGCCCATGTGGGTATTAAAGATTGTCCATATCCGCCCATTTTAAAGGGCGGGCTGGCCCTTGTTTGCACAAGTCTACTCCACATCGAAGAGAATGGATTGAACAAAAATATTTGGTAAATAGGTTCAATTCAACTCATTAGAATGAGTTCTTTTTATAATATGCTAACAAATCTATAAAGATTTGTCTTGCAACGCTCTGAAATATACCTTAATAACTAATAAATCGTAACAATGATTTTCATCGATATTAAATAAGAATTGAAGTGAATGACTAAAAATAAGATATTTTCAAAGTTATCTTTTTATACTCAAATTTACATTATTGTACAAATTCGAATCATGAAACTTAGTTAATGAGTAAAACAAACAACATTTTAGTTTTTTCCAGTACTTCCAATTCCTTCCAGTTTCTTCCAACATCTAGTTTTTTCCATTCTTAAAGAACATACTCTTAGTATAAATATTCCTTGTTAATTTTCGAAACAGGCGCACCGTGCACAAAGCAGTGAAGCACTGCGTGGGTGCGCCTGCCTCGTTTTTAATTTTCGAATAGGAAATTTTTGTAAGAATTTAAAAAATTTGGGCCAAAAATGTAAAGAATGAAACTTTTTAATAAATAAAAGAATTGGGGAGTCCCACTTAGTGAGACTGGGAGATAGCTCGCACGATAAAGACTCCGCCGCCTGAGTCTGTTTCTTTACCGATCGTCATCGCCGACGCCTTCTCTCCGGCGCCACTCTTCAGGTATCCTCTTCTCTTCTACGATCCCCCTTCTATCTGTAAACTCCATATCTCTCAGTCTCTCTCTCTCTCCTTCTCCTTGTCTAAGTCTCTCCCTTTCCTCTTTCGCTTTCTTGGCTATTTAATGGCGTGTTTTCTACTGGTATCAATTTCTAATTGTGTTATAAACTATGAAGCACTGGTGCTTCAAATAACATGCACACTAATCACCGAAAAAGTCTGTAATTGTGTCATAAAATTTGAGACATTTTATGTGGTTTGATGTTAACCTTAACCTTAACGGTAATTTGAGACTTGTATTATGTTTCCTATCTATTTCGTGTGATGTTATGTGATTGATTTATTTAAAATTGGGATAATTGATAGATTTTGCGAATATTTCAAACATAAATACATGTATCTTACCAAGATATGAATAATACAAATAAAAAATGTATAAATAAATTTTCTGCACCCATTGCCGCACCCGCGCACCAGTAGAGCACCCGCACCGGTCGCCGCACCCACACGTGTGCTATATAGGGTACACACATCATCTATTTGTACGAATGTTCAATGGATATTACAAGGTATTGTATTTGTATCTGATTTTTTTAATACTACCTTTGGGAAGTGTAGACATTGTCCTAGGAGTTCATTGGTTGAATTCTTTGGGAAGAATACTGTTTGATTTCAAAAACAGAATAATTGAGTTCAATTTTGAAGGAAAGAAGCATATCTTGATATAGGAGCTAGTAGTCAACTGAAGGCTACAAGGATGAAAACTGGGGAAAAGGATAGTTATTATAGGGCTCAACTCTTTATGATGGCCCTTACTACCAAAGAGGATATCCAGAGTTATCTTGTTTCCACAAACAAACTGAAAAAGGAAGGTCCAAGAACATAAAGTACAGATCACCAAGATATGCCTTTAATAGAATGCACTGCCTATGAGGTCATGTGTGTTCAAGAGCCTCCCATTCATCTTCCTTATTTGACAGGAGGATCAAAATCTGAAATGGTGGATAGATCAGTTATAGCGCGAGAAGTTATCATTAAATTAATAAAGCATCATATCTATAAAGAACATAAAAGAATGAAGGATATGGCATATAAGTACAGATCAGATAGACAAGTTGAAGTGGGAGATTGGGTCTGTTTAGAATTCCAGCCCTACAGGCAGATATCAGTTGCAGTCGGATCCTTTCAGAAATTGGCAGCCAAGTACTATGGATCCAATCAAGCCATTGCTCCCTGGATACATTTCATGTTTCACAGCTTAAGAACTGTTATGAAGTTCCACCTACAAGCAATCACCCTCCTGCTCTACAGCTGTCAAGCCCAAACTTCCCTATTCGAGTTTCAGAAAGGAGGTTGGTCAAAAAGAGAAACAAAGCACTGGTACAGGTTCTAGTTGAATGGTCTAATTTGGGGCAGTGACAACACCAATTGGGAGTGTCTGAAAGCATTACAACATCGGTTTCCTTTCTTCCAGACTTGAGGACAAGTCTAGTCTTTCAAATGTGGGGTATTGATACAAGAATAAGAACTGTGCTGAGCTTAAAAATAGTTAGCATTGGATAAGCTTGTATTCCATTTCTGTTATTCCCTAACTACTTTTGTTAATCCCTTGTAATCAGCTTATATAAAACACCCAGCATACTTGTATTGAGGGCATGAATTGAAAATTAAATCTTCTTTCTCTCATTCCTTCCCAAATTCTTCCCTTCTCTCTTAACTCAATCTTCCTCAATCTTCTCGGTGACTCCCTGGGTTTGGATTGTGTGTTCTTCAAAATCTCCCATTTCCTAGAATACTATCTTAGATTTTTGGTATCAATTAACCAATGGCTTTTAACAATTTTAACATCTCAATGGAAGTATCTCTTTCTACTATAGATGTGTTCTTGCAGGTCGTTCTTAGAAACTTGTAGCCAATATTTTAAATTTATGACATGCTCTACCCGTCCCTCTGTACCATTTTGGTTGGATAGTAAATTTAAAAAAAAAAGGATATTTTGTGCATTTTCCATGGGTAGCTTCCACATTTATGAGAGTTAAGTTTCAAAAATTAGAATGCTAATAGAATCCGAGGATGCAAAGTGGACACAATTGTTGGACATCTTAAAAATAGGAGAGTGAGACTTATAAAATGGGACAAGGAATAGGAGAGTGAGACTTGTACAATGAGACAGAGTATGTTTTACAAAATTTCCAAAATGTGAGAGTAAGGCTAGTTTAGAGTCAATCATGGTAAGAAATTTTTATCAAGATTGTAGAAGTACCAAAATTGGTTTTTGGCAGGTCTGACCGCCAACAATAGTTCCTTGTGAACTGCACAATCAATTAACATTTATTTTTTGTTGTATGAAGCCCGATGGATTTGTCAAACCCTGCGGTGTTTGTCAATGCTGAGCTACTACGCATGCATGTGGGACGGAGGGTTAGGGCAGTGGTTCAGGTAATTCGCTCTGACGGTAGCACAGTGACTGGAAAATCAACTGATGAACAGCAGATAATCATCAAAGGCCATGCGCCCGGTCCACTTTCAACATTTGTGGAGGTTTTTGGTATTGCTGACACTCCACAATCAATCCTTGCTGAAATATGGACTAACTTTGGGGATAATTTTGGTATGGCTTCTGATCCTTCATCAAACGCATATATCAATGCTTATAGTTCAGTGGTAAAATTTGTTGTGCAATCAATTTTTGGTCTAATCTCGTGGAAATAGCGTAGTAAATCCTCTTCTATTTAAAAGGGGTTGGATTAAAAGTAGTAATTCCACTGGAGTAAGAACAAGCTTCCCCAATGGTGCTGCTACTTTTTGTATACAAAATGTTTCTATTATTTGATTAGATATGCTGTGTGAAGTTACATAAAAACACAGAACCTTTAGGACTACTCTTATATAGGACCAAGAAAAGAAACCTTTGGTCCATCCACCAACATGAATGTCAAGATCAAACCAGGAAACTCATTGTCTGCCTTTCATATTGTTTTCATATTGGAAAGCAGATACTGTGAGTTACAACCGCATTTGCCAACTAGCCAACGGGGAATACAAACACTTGTTCATTTGAGGATTGGGTCATTCTATGATTCGGTGGTTCATCAAAAGCCTTCTTTATTTTAGTTCTTTGTCGACACTGATGGATGCATAAGAAATAGCCGAATGATAGTTTTTTTTTGGAGTCTTTCGTCTTAATTGTTTGTTTTGTGCAAGAAACTGATCAGTGAAAGTTGGTAGTTGGCACGCCGTACCAGAAAACAGCCAAATCTTCTGGTATGTAATTCTAGTAGTGTCTTACTGAATGTTTCTCTTGACCATTCGCAATTTTCTGTGCTTCTAATGGCATGTTTGGGATAAGGTTAATTAAGGTATGTAAGTGAAGGTACTTAGAGATGGTAGTTTGAGGTATGTGTAGGGAGTTTATACTCTCCCAGTCCGATTATATGTTGATCACTTTGACTTGGTTTTTAAAAATATATTAGTATATATGTTCGGTTTGAGATTTTTGGTATGGGATGTCACCTGATACCGTTCCCAAATACCATACCGATTGTTTGGTTTGGTATTTTTCAGTTTGATATTCTCGATTTTTTTAAGAAATTTCAAGATCGATTTAGTACTTGTTCACCTCTACTCTTCATGGTCTATGGAATGTTCATCTAAGACCAAGTGGTTAGAGGCTCAACATTTCTGAATGAGCATTTCAAAATTTATGAGAAAAATGTACAAAAAAAAAAAAGAATCATATGGATAGTGACAATGGATAGTGAAAATGGGTATAAATCGTGTATTGTTGTTTATATATTTTAAAAACTACATCAAAAAATTTACAAAACAAAAGGTGACAAGACTATAAGTATCAAATGGATAGTGAAAATGGGTAAAGAATATAGTTAAAGTCTGACTATGTAAATAATAAAATACAATTTAAATTGGGATGGAAAAAATATACTCCGTACGTTTTAAAATTACATTAGTCAAACTAACTAATAATCATAATATGGCTATTTTTTTAATGAACAGTAGGTACTTCAGATTTTAAATTTACATTCCATTCATTTCAATTTAATTTCAAATTCCACTAAGTTTTAACGCATATTTAGAGGATGTTTGGAGTTGTGTTTAAAAACTGCTTATGAACTTTTGCTTCATAAACTGCTTATTTTAATTTAAAATAATATTTGGTTTGTTTGCCAATCTATTTCTGCGTATAGATTATGACTTCTGCAGTCTAAAATGGATTCCAGAAATGCTTTTAAGCAAAAATAAAAATATCTACTTTCTGCTTCGACTTAAAGCTTTTGTTTTTCAAGAATATACCACACTTTCAAACACCCTCTTAATATGAATAAGCTTAGTTTTAATTGTACAACAATTATAAAATATTACGGAGTAATATTTTTAGGATAACGTTATTTGTACCCCAAGAATTTGTGTCCCATTTTGTACACCGCAGGGATGCACCAACATTTTATGTTGGTGTAATGCTAATTTTTGTTAACGCATCAACACTTTGTGTCAGTATAAATTTTTGTTAATGCACCAACACTTTGTGTTAGTGTGAACCATCAAAATGTTGGTACATACCTTTAGTGTACAAATGAGGTACAAATTTTGGGATACATGTAGCATGCTCCATATTCTTATACTCGTAATGTTTAATTTTGAAAAATGCTAGGGATACACCAAAGGTGTACCCCAAATATACACCACCCCTCCATTACCACATATATTGACAAGTAAAATAAAAAAGAAATAAATATATTAAAAATGAGTGGTAAAAAATGGGTGGTGTACATTTAGGGTACACCAAAGCCTTTTGGTGTACCCCTAGCATCCCCCATTTTTTACGGCCTTCATATGAAACTTCCACCCCTACCAATACCACTTTTGCCCAACCATAATGAAAGAATTGGCATTTCTAGAACGAGTGTTTCTTTGGTGCAACTTGAGTGCATCTTATTTTTGTAGACCTTTTCATATTAAATTTTTTTTAGTTTATTTTAAAAAAAATAAATGTTTGTCTAAGTAGTAAAAATGCTTATTTTTGCTCATATGTCCATGGTGAATCTTAGGTACACCTTAGAATTACCTTCTAGAACCGATACCTCATCTAAACTTCAAATCCAGTACTCTACCTGAGGTATAACACAGTTGACAAGTTCAGAGGTGCCAAGGAAGTAACACTCGAGTTCGATTCATCACAACTGTGTTGGAAGACAACTATGCTAAACACAAAACCTCTACAAATATCATGTGCATGTTTCATCATTTGTAAGTCAATTTGTGATTAATTAAAGCATCTCAGATGGACGTTTGGCCGGGTTTTAAGGCTCCCCTAGACCATGGGGATGTGGCTCATCCTTTTTTCAAAGTGAGTACTTCCTCTCTCCCGTAATAATATTTCATATTTGACTTGGTATAAAGATTAACAAAAATGAAATTTTGTGATTTAAAGTGGTGTAGAACAAAAAAACTAGTCCATCGGTCCCAAATGATTTACACTATTTGAATGAAATTCAAAATCTCATAATTTTTAAAATTATTTCATATATAAATTGAGGCACAAATAAAAGTACAAAATATATATTTACAAACTATATCAAAAGTTTTAAAAATAAAAGACGACAAGAAAATTTAATTTCTCAAAGGATCAATAAAAATTTACAAGTAAACAGAATTTTCGAGATATCATAATAATAAAAATATGGATCATTTTGAGACGGACAAAGCATAGAACACAATTTTTTTTATAGAATTGGAAACTAAACTTTTCTTTTTTGGGACAAAGGAAAATTGATATTTCTTGGGATTAAGACTCTGCTCTTTTGTATTGAAATTTCAGAATTGTATGTTGAAAGAAGCTGGAAGGAAAAAAATTGAAAAGAATTAGAAAATGTTAAAAAAATTAAATGTTAAAAAATCATTCAATTAAATGATTATCCAAATAAATATGTAAGAAAACTCAAATTTTAGATAAAATAGAATTTATCATTATCCGTGTTTGCGTTGCATAATAGTCACACATTTTGTGTGGGGCTTACGGCGGGATTGGGGTGGGGGTGCAGGGGCGGGAATAGGGTGGGGGGTTTAGGGGGTGGGTTAGGGGGGTAGGAATCGTCAATTTTGCGAATGGAGCACCGGAGGTGCCCCAAAATGCCAGTGGCACCGCTAGTGGCACCGGATTCCAGTGGCACTGGAACCCCACCCTAATTTATATCATACATAAATACCTTTTTAAATAACTATGGAATTGAAAAAAAACAGGGCCAAAAAATGAATTGTGGAACGAGGGAGTATCGTTTTTGTGCGGCAAAATAAAAGGCCACGCCACCGCATCTCCGCCGAGGGCCACATTTTCCTGATCAGGATTTAACGACGACTGCCCTTCTCCATTACTACTCTGTATCTAGAGATAGAAACAGACGACGAAGAAGAAGAAGGTGCAGAAGCGTCCGTACTTATCGGATGGATCACTACAAGGTATTAGGGGTAAACCGCGATGCGAGCAAGGAATCAATCAAACAAGCTTTCCGGAAGCTCGCCGTGGAATTCCACCCGGACAAGCACGCCAACTCTCCGCCGCACGTGAGAGAACGCGCCACCCTCAAATTCAAGCACCTCTCCCACGCTTACGAAACCCTAATGGACGACCGCAAGCGCGCCGATTTCAACATCCGTTCCTCCTTCTCCTCCAACCCTTCTTCTTCATCCTACCACTGGAATCGCAGTTACTATCGGGATCAGAATCCCGGCGGCGACCACAGAAATTCCGGCGGGTGCGGCTATAATTACGGTTATACCCGCAGCGGCCGTGCCTCCTACATCAATAAGCTGGAGATGCTCCTCCGCCTCATGACCGCCCGGACTTCTCTTCTCCACCTCACATTTGCCGGGTAATATTCTCTTACTTGTTTAATTTTGGTGCATTATTCCATTGGATTCGATCATTTGTTTGTTCTGGGATAAAAGAAACTAGAAGATCAAACCAATCTCCTTCATATAAAAATATCAAATTGAAACTGTAATTCTGTTATGTTTCATCAGAAAATTAGAAAAAAGAAATAGATTAACAAGGTCTGGAATGAAACGAAACTAGATAATCCATTGGATTCAATCTTTTAGCGTGAATTGATCCCGGTGTTTTATGTCCTAGAAAAAGAGCACTCCAGAACAGATTAGTAAGGACTTGAATGAAACCAGATAATTCATTGGATTCAATCTTTTATGGTTTGTTTGGATGAGGAGAGAAAATGAGAGGAAACAAAATGATATGAAACGTAATGAAAGGAAAGAAAATGGTGAGTAAATGGAGTGAAAAAAAAACTAGAGTTGGATTGATAGAAAATGATACTTCCTACTCATTTTCTCATCCAATCAAACAAAGTGAAAACTCTTCCTTTCTCACCATCAATTTTCTTTTTCTCTCCTCCCTTTTTCTCATCATCCAAACGGTTGATTAGTGTCTAGGTGTTTTATGACTCAATCAAATGACCTCTTTCCAATTTTAAATTATATCGAACTCCAAGATCAGCTCGTAAGCTAAGTCCATCAGAGATGTTTATAGCAGTAATTTCTCAAGAATAATTAGAGAAAAATACTACTCATAAATCGCATTACTCTACACGATTAGGCAATATTTTGATTTGTATTGTTTGGTCAAAGGCTTTTGTTAGGTGCATCGGTGGCAATTGATAGCGGCGGGAAAGCACTGTGGGAGATGCACAACTCCGGGGTATGTTGTTCTTGTCTCTCTTTTACTCGTGTTGTTTTGCATCAAATCAAATTCTAATGTTAAAAATTTCTTAAGAAATGAACTCAAAATTTGAGATTTAGTAGTAATCTATGATTACCAATCTCTTCTCTCTCGCGCTCTTGATGCTATCTTCGTAGTTCTTTATAATGTATGGATGCAGAAATCATTTGAGGATGCAATGGATTCGATAGACAATGCCAAAGGATGAGACAACGATGAATCGCAGAGGTTTTGTTTCCTTTATGACTTTGTTCTTGAAGCCAGATTTTGAAAGTCCATGGTCCAAAATCCAAATGCAGGGATATGGTTCATCCTTGATGTGTGTACAGGGTTCATATGAAAAGGTAGGTAAACCAATGTAAATGTATGCTTATCATAAAAAATGAGGCTTTGTATCTTTAACATCTTATAGTCCAAATTTAAATTGTCTGTTGTTGTTTACGAGATTTGACTGAAATTATTTTCAATTCAATTTATGTAAAAATTGGTGTGGATTTAATAAATTAAAATTTATATATTTGAAAACTATATCTGAATACGTACAAAACAAGAAGTGACAAAGCTATATTATTTTATCAAATGTGCAATAAAAATTGGTTAAAGTTTGACTTTGCGAATAGTAACTAGGTAATTTAAATTGGGACGGAGGGAGTAGTATTGTACCATAGTTTTGAATAAAATTCCATACTATTAGTGGACAAAACACTTTTGTACTCCTTACGTCTCATTTTATATTACCCGTTTTGATTTTGAGACATATTTAAGGAAGGGAAAAATGGTGTTGAATTTCCAAAAATGCCTTACTTTTTTTACGGGGGTGGCGATGAATGAGAAGATAAGGTGGAGACAAATGACTTATTTTAGAAGTAGTTTAGGTATTTTGTTTTTAAAATTTTATTATTATAAAAAAACAAATAATTTATTTTGGGATGGACATAAAAGAAAAACAAGTAATTTAAAGTGGGACTTGTCATTTTAATAATTAGGATATCAAATAGACAAATACATGTACATGAAATCTGCCATTAGGTGGTTTTTTTTTGTTGAGATTTTTGCATTAACTTTGGTAATCATTTGGAAAAGAATTCCTCTTAAAAATGGGTTTAGAAAACAGGCCGTATATGGTGTCGGTAAACAATATTCCGTACTGTAGATAAGTAGTGATTTGGGAAGGATAAAGTTATTTGTACCCCAAATTTTTGTACCTCATTTTGTACGCCGCAGGTTTGCACTGACATTTTATGTTTGTGTAAAACTAAAATTTGTTAACGCACCAACACTTTATATCCGTGTAAATTTTTGTTAACGCACCAACACCTGTGTCGGTATAAACCATCAAAATGTTTGTGTATAACTACAGTGTACAAATGAGGTACAATATTTGGTGTAAATGTAGCATGGCCCTTGCAAAAATTAAGAAAAAGAGGTAAAGAGGTATCCAAAAAATATGTAGCTGATTTATTACATTTTCGTAGTTAGACAAAGTACCGTGAAAGTTCTTGTATTGTCTAAAAATGTTCAAATTAGTCTTGGTACTATTTAAAACAATTTAGTCCACGTACCATTCTTTTTTGTTCAATTAAATTTTCTTCTTACTTTTTCTCTTATATATATTATCCCAAATGCTTATGATGTCTAATTTTACTATATAGGGTAAAGTAATGTCGTCTTGGCATGCTAATTTATATTTTTTAAACGTAATTTTAGTCATTAAAAAATACACCCTCCATCCCATTTTATAACGCCTGTTTCTGTTTACGATGTTTAACTAAAATTATTTTCAAATCATTTTATATGACAAATGGTATAGATTTAAAAAATAAAAATTACATAATAAAATACTACATCAAAAGATCCGTACAAAACTGATAGTGACAATAGTATTTTATTTTATCAAATTGCTAACGAAAATAGAGAAAAAAAGTGAATGAAGTTTGACCCTGTGAATAGTAAACAGACATTATAATTTGGGACGGAGAGAGTAGATAATTGTATCCCTATATTTTTTTCATTAAAGGAAATAGATATACAGATGCATATTCCACTTGGTAAAAAAAGGTTTTTTGAACATAATATGCTTTAACATGCCAAGAATTTATTTTTATGTTATTTACCCCCATTCTTATTTAAATTGTCTATTTACTATTCATAAGATTAAATTTTAATACTCCGTAACATTCTTTACCATTTTTCTCTATCAAAGAAAATAATAGTCTTGTCACTTCCTCTTTTGCAGAGCTTTTGATGTACTTTGTAGTTTTTAAATATATAAATTGTAGTTATATTTTTTTAATTCCATACCAATTTTTAAATACATAACTTTTTTCAAATAATAAAAGGTGATTTAAATTGGGACGGAAGGAGTAATAAAACTGGATATCATTACACAGAGCTTGAGACAACATTTTTATAATGATTTAATGAAAGAACTTGATTGAACAAAAAATGATGATATACTCCCTCCATCCCAGAGTATTCGTCTTGTTTTGACTTTTGGAACTGTTAATCTAAGCACTTTGACTCATCAAATTCTCTCAATGTGTAAGCCTAAATATAGTCATGTGTGATCTTGTTTGATTTTTCTTAACATATAGATTATTAATATATAATTTCTATAATTTTTTAATATACAAATTACAAGATAAAATGGATTAAAGAAGTGTATTGGATGGTGTGTACAAATGAAAGTAGACAAATATTCTGGGACGGAGGTAGTATAAACTATGTTACTTCAATTAGAAGTACAAAGACAAATTTAAATATTTTTGAAAAGTGCTAGGGATGGGATACACTAAAGGTGTACCCCAAATATACATCACCCCTTCCAATGCTACATATATTGACAAATAAAATAAACAAGAAATAGATAAATAAAAATGAGTGGTAGAGACATTGGTTGGTGTACATCTCCCCCAATATTTTTATATGGTGCCTAAACTCTTGGATAATGCTACTTACACTCCAAACTTAACCCAATTTGTACCCCAATATAAAAGACCTCCCCCCACCCTACACGTGCAAGTAACTCCCCACCTAATTCACACTGCTTCTCAACCTTCGCCTGTCTCCTCTGTTACCTTGTTTTCGGTCTGAATTTCCTCCTCGCCGTCTTCACAACCATCGTCGTCTCTGCCCTCGTCTCTCCCACTGGTGATCCGTGTCCTCTCGCCTTCCGATTGTCATTCACAACACTCCTTTCTGCCGTCTTCATAGCCTACGGTTTGCCCTCTTCACATGCATCCTCTTTGCCGCCGGTGATCCGCCATCAAGGTAATTGCTCCTCCTTTTCTAATTGCACCTCTTTTCGCAATAATTCTTTAGATTAGTGGATCTTAAATTCCCAAATGCATGTTCATGAAACCCTAAATGCAAAGCTACGGTAATTTTCCCTTAAGTTTGGTGCGATTTTCACAAATGCCTGGGCAATGGTATTTTTACTCTGCACACTAACACATAGTGCCCATGTTAATATATTCAATGACCTTTGATTTCTGCGCACTCAATTTTATCTTTGTTTATACATTCATCTCGTTCAACGACTACCCAAAATGGCAGTGATGGCCTAAATTATTTCAAAAATTCCTTGAAGTATAATCAATTAAGTAAATGCATGGGCAATGGTGTACAACAGCTTCACACCTACATTTTTTGCCCAATTGACTATGTTATGCTTACGTTATTATTTGGCCACTCACAAATATTTTTGTTTGTACAACCTTCACATAATAAGTCTAATTATGAGATTTAATATTTTGGTATTACATTGTCTTGTATTTGAATTGGAATGTAGGTTTGTATGCAATGGCGTTGCAAATTGTTAGTGCAGACCACTTCTAAGCACAATACACATGTTATTCTGAACTTTGAAAATTGGTTGACATCATCAAACATAAACTCACACCTTCAGACTTGAACCACTTCAAGACGGAGTCTCCTTTTGGCCACCTTCTTGACTCCCCGCCATTGCAGTTCTCCGACCAACTCATAGATCTGTTGCTCCTGCACCTCACAAGAGAACAGGTAGAGGATGAACTACGATTCAACATAAATGGTTCGATATTGAAATTTGATTTTGACGAATGGTGCCGCATAAGTAGAATAGCCTCTACCAAGGTTTATGGAGAGGAAGGTAGTGATGAGGGTGACGATTCAGTCTCAGGGAGAATTAGAAACAAAATTTTTAGGAAATGATAAGGGGAAAACAACATTTGCGCATGTGCGCAAATATTTTCATGCTCTTCGTGATGAAAATGGGGGCAATGACATCCTTCAGGTTGCTAAGCTCTTTTTGTGGAGTCTGTGTTGTTAGCTAAAGACAAGGGAACTGGTGTTGACATGTCTCACCTTCACCTCCTAGATAGCGTTGACAAGTTCAACGCTTGTCCATGGGGGTGGGAGTCTTACCTTCTCACAGTACGCCACCTGAAGGCATCTATGGAGGGGTAATCAGTCCGTTTCTTGGCAAAGCTAGCTGACAACCCGAACATGAAGACATCCAAATTCTATTTTTATGGTTTCCTTTTGCGTTGCAAGTAAGTACGCAATACATCGTCTTGTTTCATAGGTGGCGCATATGAGAGAGGTTGTGGATGAAAAATTTGAATCACACATAAATATGGTGAGAACGAGTTTCATTTACTAATTCCTCCATTGGGGTCCTGCCGGGTGGTGATGACATCGGAAGTTCAGTTTCCTCACCTATAATGCTTCTCCACCATCTACGACCCTCGACCGTTTACGACACTTTCTTTGTCTAATGGTCTCTTGATCCTCTTCCACTTCCTCCTCCACCTCTTTCTTAAACTTTGCATGTGCAATGTCTTCATCCTTCCCCTCATTCTCATCCTCCGAGTCCCCCACCACCTCATCCTCTTCATCGTCTTCCTCCCCCTGCTCATCCTCTGCGTCTCCCACCACCTCCTCATCCTCCGCCTCCTCGGTCGCATGTGTATGTGTCGCATGTGTATGTTAGTGTGTCCTCTTCTTTTTGTTCTCCATCAAGACATCTACTTTCTTAGAAAGTATTTCTATCTTTACTTCAAGGTCTCCAAATTTTTCATCCACAACCTCTCTCATATGCGCCACCTCTGAAACAAGACGATGTATTGCGTACTTACTTGCAACACAAAAGGAAAACCATAAAAATAGAATTTGGATGCCTTCATGTTCGGGTTGTGAGCTAGCTTTGACAAGAAACGGGCTGGTTGCCCCTCCATAGATGCCTTCAGCTGGCGTACTGTGAGAAGGTAAGACTCCTACCCCCATGGACAAGCGTTGAACTTGTCAACGCTATCTAGGAGGTGAAGGTGAGACATGTCAACACCAGTCCCTTGTCTTTAGCTAACAACACAGACTCCACAAAAAAGAGCTTAGCAAACTGAAAGATGTCATTGCCCCCATTTTCATCATGAAGAGCATGAAAACATTTGCGCACATGCGCAAATGTTGTTTTCCCCTTATCATTTCCTAAAAATTTCTTTCTAATTCTCCCTGAGGCCAAATCGTCACCCTCATCACCACCTTCCTCTCCATAAACCTTGGTAGAGGCCATTCCACTTATGCGGCACCATTCGCCAAAATCAAATTTCAATATCGAACCATTTATGTTGAATCGTAGTTCATCCTCTACCTGTTCTCTTGTGAGGTGCAGAAGCAACAAATCTATGAATTAGCCAGAGAATTGCAATGGCGGGGAGTCAAGAAGGTGGCCAAAAGGAGACTCCGTCTTGAAGCGGTTCAAGTCTAAAGGTGTGAGTTTATGTTTAATGGTGTCAACCAATTTTCGAAGCTTGCAATAACATGTGTGTTGTGTTTGGAAGTGGTCTGCACTAACAATTTGCAATGCCATTGCATACAAACCTACATTCCAATTCAAATACAAGACAATGTAATACCAAAATATTAAATCTCATAATTAGACTTATTATGTGAAGGTTTTACAAACAGCAATATTTGTGAGTGGGCAAATAATAACGTAAGCATAACATAGTTAATTGTGAGTAACCAAAGGTCCTGATCTCATCGATGACCTTGGCGGATACTTCGTGCTTGTAGAGGCCCTGGAAGAACCGGATGCCGGTCTCCCGATTAGGAATCACACGGGCGGCAAATTGCTCCGGCTCTTGGGCTGCCCAGGCAGAAGCAAATGAGGCCCGGTCGGCACGCTCCTTTTCCAGTTCAGCCTTTAGCTGGGCAATCTCCTCGGCGGATTGGGCGGCCTTCTCCTTCAGTTTGGCCTTCGCCCCTTCGAGTTCTTGGATCTTCTCTTGGGCCTGGGCATCGGCCTCTTTTGACGCCTTCAGCAGCCTGTCGTGCTTGGTGTAAAGAGATCAGAAGGCCGCATGCTTTGGCCTTTTTCCGACATGCCACCATCATGCCCTCTAGTCGGGCCTTCTCCTCAGATTTGGATTTTACGAGCCGGGTGAACCACTCCTTGCTGATCCGTCCGACCTGCCTCAAAGGGATAAAAGAATTTCAAAAGATTAATTGCAAAATTAACTTAGAAAAGATATGAGAGATGGGAGGATTACCTCATTCAGGTCGGCGCAGAAAGCTTGGAAAAGCTCCTCGTCCGACCGGGCCATCAGGGCCAGCCCTCTGCCGACATCGAAGGACTGGGCAGACTGGTCTACAGCCAGGTCCTCCATCTCTTCCTCCATCTCTTCCTCAGGAGGGCCTCCTCGGCGGCCTCTTCTTCACCGCCTCCCTCCACCTATTGGCCGCCCTGACCGGCCTCTAATGTGTGGCCGGTTTCCATCAGTGTGTTGTCAAACTCCAGGGTATCTACATTGATGTAGATCTCCCTGGAGTGGATCGGTTGGCTAGTGCCCTGGGACTGAGCCGGCTGTTCATCCAGTAGAGGCGGTTGACCGGAGGGCTAGCTGTAAGGCTGGGCGGTGGAGGGCTCCTCCACATCAACGATTTGAGGGATAAAGAACTTGGAGTTAAACTTCACTACTGCAACAAGTAGCAAAACCAGTTAGAGAGGAAAAGTAGGGAGGGACCTTTCTCCTCCTTCTTCTTCCCCCGGCGCGAGGAACCGGCGTCAGTTGACACGGGGGCTTTTGACCCTTGCACACGGCGGAGGGGGATGGTGTCTGGGATCACCTCTTCCCGAATGATCTCAGGCTCCGGGTCAGTTTCTAAACCCGGGTAGACCCCCCACTTCCCAACGTTGTAGGGGCCGCGAGTGGAGGTGTCCCCGGTCCGGAGGGTGGCTTCCCAGCCGACCAGGTCATCAGTCTCCTTGGGCTTGACCTGGACTTTAAATTTTTTCCCCCAGGCATTTTGGGCAAAAGGAAAGTCGCCCGGGGGGGAATTTGATGGAGACATATTTATCCTTCCAACCCCTGTTGGAAGGAGGGAGGCCGGAGAGAAAAGCCCGGCCCTGGTGAGAGGACACAATCACGAATCCAAGGGTTTCCTTGGACCCGGGCCAGACATTGAACAGGTGATCGAAAAGACGAAGGGAGAGGGGGATACGAAGAAAACGGCAGACATTGATAAAACTACTCAGCATACGGTGACCATTAGGGGCCAACTACCCAGGCATGATCCCGTATGTCTCGAGGAAGAGGACTTTGAAAGAATGAATGGAGAATTCACCCAAGTCCTTGATGGAATGGTAGTGGATTCTAATCGGCATACCAGTGTGGAGAGAAATAATATTCTTCCATGTTGCTCGGTAGGACAATTGGTAACCATCAGGCATGAGGTTGCGCAGCTCGTGGACTTGAGCTTTCTGCATGTAGAACGGCTGCTCCAAGAGCAACCGGTCATCCAGCAGGATAAAGCCCTCGTCCACAGACCGGGCAACCGTGGCCACTTGTGCTGCGGAAGAAGAAGGGGCACAAGTGGAAGCATCGACCGGCTTCTTCTGTGGAGAATTAGCCGAGCGCTCAGAAAAAGAAGAATACTGGGAAATGGAGGTCTGAGACCGGGCATCAGAACCATAAGAATGAACAGAAGGGTTCTAATTGTCCTCGTGGTCAGACATGACTCAAAGAAATGAGGAGGAAAAAGGAGACTTACTTGAAACTAGAAGACTCGGAAGACTCGAGAAACAGAAGTAGCAACCAGGTAGTTTTTTGGATAGCAAATTGCAAGTGAGAAAATTCGATGGGGGAACCTCGCTTTATATAGGGGAGGTGCCGCCCAGCCGGATCAATGGGGGAGCAACACGTGGCAGCTGAAATGATTCGTAATAATAACTTCTCGGGGAGACGAAACAGCGGGACAAATCGGCGGCGCCGTACCGGATTCCAATGAAGATTCCCCCGCATTTAACGCCCGGGATTTCGAAATTCAAAATTCAAATATGTTTTTGGCGCCGGTTTACGAAGGCCCTTTTCCCGCCAAAACCATCTGGGGATTTGAAATTTGAAAACAAGCTTGCATATGCTTCCCGTCCCTGATGGTACCCACAGAGCCGGGAATCGGAGGACTCCTTGACTCCTTGATGGGTAATAACCCATGGACTCCACCCGGTAGGTTCATACCGACTGAGAGGTATCAAATCCAACGCCCTATGACCCGGTCGACCCGGGCATTCTGGCCGGTCAGGAGTGAGAAGATTCGAAATCACAGACATGGCTTCATATGACGAAGGCAGGCAAGCTGACCGGTCGAAAGAGCAGAGACGTGTTTGACGTGCTTAGTCATTATTATAAATAAGACTAAAAGCCTCATTTATGGGGCATGCTTTAATTAATCCATACGGCTTATAACTTGTAAACAGTCCTACTATCATTAATAACAAACCGGGTTACAGGTGTTTCCACCTACAGCCCTTCCACTCATTTACACTTAATATTTGCACAGTATTTACACTATCAGGTAGTGCAAAAAATGAATTGGAATTGATGAATTCAATTCTATGGAATTGAATCCCATGACATTTTAATTCCAATTCAATTCTAATTCCATCAATTCTGTATACCAAACGGACCCTGAAAGTTTTCTTTTTTTCCCATTCACTACTTTTTTTAATCAAATAACGATTAAAAAAATGTCCGATTGCAAATGTTTTCGGACACACCAAAAATTGAAGAAAAAAAGAATATGCATAACACTAGTGGCAGCAAATGAATAAAAATTGCTCGTACATTTGTTACTCCCAGAAGTTTACTTGGGCAAAAAAACAAACAAAATGGTACAGTTCAAATTTTAAGTCACCTTTTTTTTGGTAAATTCATTATGGGCTCATTTGTTTTGAATTCCTCTTTTGGCTAATTCTTGATTCCCAGAATCAACCCCCTAATTCCTTTTTTTTGCTAATTCTAGAGAATCGAGCCATTAATTCTTGCTGATTCTAAATCTCATAATCAACAGAATTACTGCATTTTACATTCAACCCAAATAAGCACTATACATAAATTCAAGGTGTTTCCCTATGGAAATTGGTCTTGCACTCCCATGGAATATTGCATGGGAGCAACGTTGAAATGCTTAAAAAGCGTAAAATAGTTACATTGGCTCACTAATAAATTGATCAATGTAAACAANCCCCCCCCCCCCCCCGCCCTCAAGAATGGAATTCTTAGCTCAAGTCCCAAACTACTTGGAATACAGAAAATTTCATTTGCGGATTGAGATAACTCTTAGAAGAGATCATATACGAGGAGGATCGAATGATATTAACCAGCTTATGATTTCACAAATAAATACAGACAGAGAAGCCCATTTTAATACAATTTCAGACCGGGAAAAGAAAGTAGCCTAACCCGATTCGTGGATGTCAAATGGTGGGTAGAGGACAGATATTTTCATGCAAAGGGATTTTTTCCACCAATAGGCCCTTGTGTTGCGGAATTCCTGCAAAATAAGGCAACCGTTTGATTTAATAAAGAATGAAGAATTGAAGGGAAGACTAGTGAAATTACCAAGCCAAACAAAGCCAGTCAGAACATGGCTGGTAAAGTAAGATCTCAGCTATTTTGAGCCATTTGAGCTGTTTTTAATAAAGATAGCATGTTTGGGAAGATAGATCCACATGGGCTCTTTTGTTTCCAACCCCCCCCCCCCCCCGGTTTCCTCGGTATAAACATGTTAATAACTGACCATTTCTCCCACCAAAGTTTGCCCAAACAAACTTGTGGTGTGTATGCAAAAACAAATGCCTTTATGATTGAGGAAAATCCATACTGTCAAAAGATAAAGGTCTACAATCCTTTGGGTATGTGACTTTTTTCTATAACAATCTCACAACTATATTACTGCTAAATAGTTATTTCACACACACATGCAAATAATACAAGCAGAAGCTTGGCAAACTGATTAAAGTAATATATTTATGCAATCAAATATAATAAAGATGAACTCACGATATTTGGTTGCCAGTAGGTTGTGCTGAAATGAATCCTAAGGTACCTGCAGTAAGAACAATCAGAAAAAATGAAAGATCTAATAATATAACGAGATCGAAATAGTACATATTTACTCCATTACCTTCTCCTACAGCTGAAATATAAGATGCAACCGTATTCTGTGCAAACCAAGGCTCTTTTATCTCACCAGCAAAGGGCATTGGCACCTCTCCATTTGGCAATGTAGCTTGGACGGAGCTCATATCCCAGAAATCAGACTAAAGTGCAAAGGATTATATTATCAATTACACACATGACACATAACAAATCATGACACCAGTATGCTACATGGACCAGTATAACCAACATTAAACATCTCCCAAAATGCACTAAAAATCACGAATAAGTTCCATAGACACAGAAGTGGTATAACCTTGCTTGAACATTGACAGTCATAGATAGCCAAGTCCAGGTGACAAGTCCAGGTGAGAGACACTATGCAATAATGGAATTCATTATTCCATTGCCAATTGAGCTAAAAGAGTCATTATTGACAATGTTTTAGTTTGGAATATTTAATGGACTAAATCAAATTGCCACATTAAACTTCCATTGCTTCTTACCTTCTATGAAGATTTGGGCAGTAAATGCAGCAATGCATCTAGGATCTAATGGAAAGAGTCTCTCTGTTTCTATGGGGGGTAAGACTGTGTACAACTTGACCCCCAGTTGGGGTCATACTGGGTTCAGTGGGTTGTTTTTTCAAGAAATTAAGAGCTCGGTAAGGGGGTCTCTGGTCGTTCTCTACAGAAATAGTAAGTGGATAGACACAAAGGGCTCAACAACAATTGAACTGATCTTGGAAGGCTCAACCATATCACCTAAGAATAGCTTCTTTTTTTTCTTACAGATGCTCTTTCCTTTTTCACCCATTTTCAGGGTTATGATAAACTTTAATATTTAAAAAATGCCCTCTTTGGTATAAATTTGGTTGAGAGTTAGGATAAGATTGCACCAAAATTTTATGTTATGGTACTCAATTACCCATTTTAGAAGTCTGGCTATGAAGTTTTTTCCAATTGAGTTTTTAGCGCAGTTGGCATGTTCCATTGTGTGCGTGTTTACAAAAAACTTGTAACGAGATATAATTATCGCAACTATATTCACTGATGACTCATGATCTTTCCAGTTGTGTAAATACTATATATGGTGAATCAAAATTCCATATCATTAAAAATTTGTAACAGCCAACAAGAATGAAATAGTATGTAGTAAAGCGTTGTCACCATATTTGGCATTCTTTTCAGAATTATAAGGCCCTTCTAAGAACCTGTTTGGTTTGGAAGAGTATCTGTATGAGATATGGGTATGGGAATCTCATACCCATACCACTTGTTTGGTTATTAAAGTTGATTCTCCAAATCCAATCCCTAATCCCTTTCTAGTTTGGCCCTGATTTTTTCCATCGACCCCATGCCTCCATCTATCTCCATGTCTCCTTTGATTCACGTAGGGGTGTAAACGGATATTAATCGGATCGGATGTGCCATTACCAAATCCATATCCGTTTATTTTTGTCGGATATCGAATTCGGATATGGATCTTGACGGATCCTGAAAATCAAAACCGTATCCGCATCCGTCAGATATCGGTCGGATATCGGATATATCCGTATCCGTTTCTAATTTTTATAATCAAATTAAACAATATTTTAATTTTAAATTAGATTAAAGTCAAACTTTATTAAATCAACTATAATTTGATATGAGATAATTATTTTCTTTGTTTTCATAATTTATGATATTCTACGATAACTTCATATGATAAAAAGATATACACAACACACATATACACATACTTTTATATGTCTGTATATATTTTTATGTGTCTACACATTTATTTTGTATATAAAAATGTCTTATATTTTGAAATATCAATAGAGAAACAAATTATAGACATAAAAAATCAGGAAAAACTATATATAACGGATCGGATATTCGGATAAACGGTTATTTAAACGGATGCATATTCGGATCGGATTTTAAACGGATCGGATATACAATTACCAAATCCGTATCCGTTTAGTAATCGGATATCCTTAATCGGATACGGATAATATCCGTTTAAAACGGATGCGGATATTTCCTCTTTAAACGAATACGGATGCGGACGGTAATCGGATTTTCGGCTATCCATTTACAGCCCTAGTCATTCACGTCCGCAATCAAAATTCAAATCCCGAATACAAACCAAACACTTGATATCTTCTAACCTCATACCTTGTGAACTTTGTTCCTGATTCTAAATCCATACAAACTGGACCAAACAAAACCCCCAAGTTTTAACAGATTCAATTATGGATATCATTGGCTTTGTTGATTCGCAACAAGTTGGCTTTGAAATCATTCAATTTTTCTGAACATTTTGATTCTCCTTTGATCCCCGTCTCTCCTCTCTCTACTATAGCATCAGAGAAAAGTGTAAATTAAGGCTGAAGATGGGTGGTAATGTCTCTATTGGCAATAATGGCAGTGATGAGGATGTTGAGGTGGATGTGTGGTCATACGAGGATGAATAGAACACAATGAGATTATCCGGGACAAGTTGCGAGAAGCTAGATTGAGATGGCTGGGCACATGATGATGAAGAGTACCGCCGCTCCTGTATGGGGTTTGAGAGTCTAGGGGCAAGAAATTATGGGAAGGGTAGAGATAGACCGAAGAAAAGGTTAAAGCGAAGTGATTAGCCAAAACTTGCGTCTTATGGAGCTCAACAAGGATATGATCTTAGATAGGAGTATTTGGCGATAGTGGATTAAAGTTGTAGGGCAGGCCTAGATAGGGGTGGTTATAGTTGTGTAGAGGCCTTTTAGGTTTCAGTTAGACGTAGGTAGATGTTTACATGGTTTATTGTTTCACTCATTGCTTTCCCTTTATGTGTGGATTGTACGTACTAACCTTTATCTTTTGTCTATTTGTGTTTCAGTTGGGTGGGGTGGGGGGGGGTCTTTCAGAATTAGTCTCACTACCTTTTCTAGGTATGGGTAAGGTCTTTGTACACTTAGCCAACCCATACCACATTTATAGGAATTTACTAGGTCCATTGTTTTTTGTTGTTGTGGCACACAACTATCCACCATGAGTCCAATAGCTATTTCCCAGCAAATTTATAGTCACCCAACAACCTTATTAATTTTTATGATTTTTGCAGTAACCTATGATCGGAAACCAAGGAAGCCCGACTTTGAAGAGAATACGGAAAAAATGCTAGAAATCCATATCATATTTGGAAGCAAGAGAAAAGGCGCGAAAGCTTTAGAACAAGGGAGAAACCACTTTGCTCGGTATGATGGGAAAGCTCATGCTAGAAAACCATATCATAACAAGAATAAAGATTAAAGAGCAAATGCGTGAAATGTTATGAACGAGGGAAGAACCACTTTGCTCACAAAGATAGAAAAGTTCATGCTAAAGCTTTTATTAGAGTTGACTCTATCAATTTGAACAAGAAACCTTATTTGTAATAATATTTGACATTCTTTATTTCTAATTCATGTTCCTGTTTTATATTAAAGTTCCAAACAACTACCCTAAATTTATTGGAACTTGTTCGGATAACTAAGTATTTAAATTCAATCCCCACGTTTCAACCAAACACCTTACACCTACTGTTCCAATAATGATTTGTTAGAATCCCTTGGTTTTGACATCTTTGTCAATTAGCATTAACACTTCTAGAAAACATGACTCATATTTAAGAACTTTATGTGTCCTTTTTTATGACTTCATATAAAGAATGTCAGTAAAACCTCCACTTTTGGCTTACATTGTTAAATTCATGGCAGAAGATTTATGAAATGCATCAAATGTATAAATAAAAAACATGAAAATGATGAAATGGCCTCTTCTAACCTGACATCATCCTCTTGCCCAATATAGATGTCATTGTGAATGATCTACATATATGATGCAACAGATGCAGAGAAAGCTAACTTACTGTATTGTTGGTTTGAATGTTTGATTCATATGGGATGTCAAATGGATTGGTAGATTTGCTTCTTGAAGGTTCTCGTAATCCTCCCTGTAAGTGAGCAACTTAATGTCAAACTATCAGGTGAAGAGACAGGTCATAGACTCCCAGAGAAAGATGAATGACAAATAAATAGTACAAATGAAGGCAAAAAGTAACCTACATATGATGATATGGTAGACAATTGGTGGCCACCTCTCACTTCAGTTCTTAGAGTTTCATGATCAGAAAAGTTCTATAAAATAGATGTCTATTAGAGATGCAATAACCAAACAATCTGTTAGCAGCAGTAGAAAGGTCTAGCTGCATCTGATCCTCTTTACCCCAGATATTGATCAGAAAATGAAGATGGTTGGTAAATACCTGTTGATTACTACTTTGAGCACCCTGTAATGCAAAAAAATCAGTGGAACTCTCAAATGCTTTCCATGGCTGCACCACAGAACAGAAAAAGCTTGTGTTAATAGTCATTAATACAAATAGAAACCATGTCTCCTACCGTAATAAGAGTCCAATTTTAACTACAGATGCCTCAGTTTTCTCTAGGTGTGCTTCAATTAGAATCACTCACCGCAGAGCTTCCACTTGGGGTTGCTTCAGCATTTTGGATACCTCCGTGTGATAATGCAGGCATTAATGGATATCCTCCTTGTGCTTCGGAGTAAGGAAAGGATGGGCCATTTGGGGTAGAACCTTGAATAGAAGGAAAATGCAGGAGAGACAAATGAGGGCTATTATTTTCTAAAGAAACACCAGGACCAATTGGTTCCATTTGATGAGGCATGTCGAACGCTGTCCATCCATCATTCATGTGGATAACAGCATCTGAAGGAACTTTGTTGGATACTGCATCTGGCGTTGGAGATGGTATCCCAGACGGCCCAGAGAAAAGTTTTAACGAGTTACCATCAGATAAAGGTGCTGCAAAAACTGGCGTAAATTTCTCACTTCCTACTGGTGCTGTGTCTTGAGGCATGTCAAATGTCGCCCATCCCTCATTTATCAAGGTGTTGTTACTAGATTGTGTAGCTGATTGCTGGTTAGGTACCATTGATGAGAATAACTCCAAACCCGAAGCAGGAATGTGTGGCATTTGACATGAACCTAGAGTTGGATCAGGAGATGTAGGGAGATGCTTAAACAAATCAAATTGAGAAGCTGACGATGACTCTGTCAAATTAGCAACATTCGAGGCTGAAGGAATAGTTTGTGAAGTTGCAGGTGCATTGCACAAGTCCAGTGATGACTGAGGCAAAGAAGGCAAAGCTGACAATTTATTGTGGTGGATCTTGACTGATTGTTCAGGCTCTGAACCAGCTTCAGTTAAATCAAAAGAGCTTACTGAATTGAAAGACAGGGAGTTGTCTAGAGATCCAAAGCTTCCCAATGATGCAATTCTCTGAAAAAAAACATATTGTGCACCAGCTTGAAGGGACATTATAAATTTATAATGGAGAAACAGTCTTCTTATAAGGCAGATGAGAGTCATTGCCTCAAACAAAAGCTAGTTTCTACTTTATAGAAACTAATAACTATGCCTAATACAGTGCTTTGATATTATCCTCTTTTCATGTTGGAGATGGCCAGGATTGTTAGTCCTTATCTGAATAGCAACATTTAACATAGAAATGCCACAGTTGCAACTTTTCATGTGGTTTCCTCTATCAAGCACATGATATTGGTCCCACTCTCTCCCCACCCCACCAGAAAAAAACATTCAGTGAGTAAAGAAATGACATATATAATGAGTACTTCGTATTAGCATTATAGCATACCTGTGTATGGCCAGAAAACCCTGTATCTCTTTGGTAGTTAGGTGACTGGACCTCAAATCTAACCGGATCACCTCCACTAGACACAGAGAAATCTGACGCTCTGGGGTTAGAACCTTCATTTGCAAACCTGTTCTCATTCATATGGTCACTCAAATGACTTGGACTTGAGAAACTAGAAACTTTTCCATCGTATAGACCTCGATCTGAACCCGGCTTTCTTGTAAGAGTAGGACCGGGCTTTCCATAAATCCTTTCTTCATACTGGAAATCATATGGCGGACTTTGAGAATAAGAATGGTATGAACTTGCCCGTCTCGTCTCATCTGCATGGCCTCTAAGGTTCTGGCAAGGCATAATCAGCCCTTTAGTTGAGAGAAAGCATGACAACGCTAGAATAAAAGTCTCTGAAAAAAGTAAAAAACACTTGGGTGGTTTGCATCAAGATACAGGTTCAAGAATGTTACTTGTGTATCACGTGGAGGTCTATCCATGGACTGTCCACCAGCATATCTTTTATCCACATAAACAGTCTTTATAAACTCCCGTATTTTTTCAGCATTACTGAAAGGTTAAGATAGCCAAACTCATAGTAAGAATCTAATATTTCTTTGACACGTCAAGGCATTGAGATTTATATACCTATTAACAGGCAACCTTTGCCTCTGGAGATCCCAGTTTTTCAAATAGATCTCCCTTGCTCGCTGAAGAAGTAACAAATTATCAAGAACACATCAGATATTTGTTAACTAATTGACAGAGAACCGGTTAACAAATCTGTACCTGATTACCACCCTTTTGAAGAGCTTCAACTTCTTGTGTAGTAAACTTAGCCATTGATACAGATTTGACACGATGTGTAAACTCACGACTGCAACAAAATATGAATAAAAAAAGATGATAAGGAGAAAAGTGGAAATGCTGAAAGATGGTCATAGTGCAACTCAATAAAACTTATGTGCAAAATATAATAACAATAACAATAATAATAATAATAATAATAATGCATTAAGCTTGAAATTTGAAGAATGACAGTGTAAAATTGCCATTTCTCAAGTCTCATTGTCACATGACAAACTCACTACAATATCTTTCTTTGGGCTTCACTAGTATACGTTTGATAATCAAAGAAATTTACGACATGTCCTTCAATCAATACTATAGGAGGTGAGTGCATTTATATATGAATTTGCAGGATTACAAACTTAGCATCACAAAAACTAATATCGTAAATCCTTTTTTAAGATTTTTGAAATGCAGGAATGGTGGAGCTCTCCATAAAGAGTCCAGTTTGTTTGGGTCGGGCCCGAATGTTGCATTGTGTGTTAGTCAAGAGGCCAAACGGAAACATGTGTCACAGTAAAGACAACGGTACCCAATGGATTTGATGAAGTTGATGAACTATTGCCAATTTGTCATACAGGGAATCATAATCATGTAGAGTTTGTGTTTGAAAGGATTGTTATGGTTAGAAAAATCTTCCATATCAGAGAGAGTGAAAAAGAGACTTTGATACAAGCATGGACAATATTCCATTATTGTTAAGACTTGCTTGCTGGTGCTCGCAAATTCCTAACGCGGGGCCGCGAGCGATATCATACTTGTTTGAAATTAAGCACATAAGATGCACCAACAAATAATAGAAAATAGTACATGGTATGATGATATACCCAACAATAAAAGATGCATTTTAAATGCATTTACTCGTAGTTGTTAACCGATCAAAGTGCATTCTGCATGGTGTTGCATATGGTCTCCTAAGGTACGAAGTGTGGGAGAGGTGTGTGTCTCTAAAACATGAGGCTCACACAATTGACAAATGCTAATTTGTTTATAATAATAATAATAATAATAATTTAATATTCCAAACAAAAAACCATTAACCATGCAAACAAAAACATCACTTAGTTGGTCCAAGTGGAAAGCAGCTTGGATTCGCTTAAGGGAGGTCTCGTGTTCGAGTCTCACCATATGCAAAAAACCCTAGCTCAGAGATTCACCCACCAATGCTAGGTGCGCTACCCGGGTGGGATATGGATGTAGTCGGGGAAAAGCTTTGGAGAACCAGATGGGCAACCAAAAAACATCACTTAGTCGCTCACTTTCATGATAAAGTCTAATGAACTAAGGTGATAAAAGTTTACAAGCTTCTAATAAAAATCCCACGCCCAATTTTTATATTGAACAATCATATTATTAGCATAACAAGTCAAAGTAATCAATCATTAAAATCAATGTCAACCACCATCAAACTCATCATCTCCATCATCAACAGATGATCAAATGGTCTATCCTCGTGTAATCGTATCCATATTATCATGTGCATCTGTCTTCATCAGACACATTCTTCTTCGGCATCTTCTTCATCTCAAAGCGATAAGCCTCTCAAAGAGAAAGATGTTTTTGTCTTCCCCTCCACGGGCATCATGAGTATGAATGAAACTTTTGTTACAGTATTTACTTGTGAGGGAGTGTGGAATCTAACCCTATACCAGCTTATGTTTGTCCTTCAAAACATTGCAGACTATTTAGTTTACATGTACACGCCTCAAAGGCACGCCAAAGTGTGTGCCTTACGAAGATCAGCCGCTTCGGCCTACAAAATGCAATGCCACATCAGCCCTTGCATCTCGAGTGAGGCACGCCTCGGACGTGCTTTTTACCATTATGGATACACTATAGACTATTTTTATTTTCTAAAGAGAAGTGAAGTAATTGCAGTAAGAAAAGTTTAAATTATTACACCAAAGAGTGCAGCTGACACCTGAGGGAATAAGGATCCGTAACACAAGAACCTGCAAAATAGCTTATGGGAACTGAAATCACTTACTGTATTCCACTGCAAGTCATACAAACAAACGTCCAGAAGTTTGTGCAGACATACTGGGGTCCCTACAAGTGCCAAATTTGAAAACTAGCAGTTAGAAGTAAAGTAACAATAGAACTTTAAAAATGTAGAAACACAAAATAACCAAGCCAATGATTCTATATATCTTGAATCTCATCATTAATTTTGAGATCTTTACATGTTATGTGGAAAACAGACAAAATCACACACTAGAACTGGAATTTTAAAAAAAAACTTGGAAAGTAAAAAAAGAATCAAAATAAAGCCACAGAAACGGAAACCTAATGGTGAAAAGTAAAAAATAAAAGAGAACTTCCAAAAGTTGCGATTACATGAAATAATGGCCAGATGCTAAGAAGTGTATTTAACTGTATAATTGAGTGAATAAGGGTAAAGTAGACATAGAAGAATACCAAACTATCGCAGTTAATGCATCTGCGATTGGGAGGGAGTTTCATGAGCCCCCGAATGATCTTCTCGTTCCGCTCTTCTTCTCTTCTGCTGCTCATCTTCGCACCTTGCCGTCGGTAACTCGATTCTACAGCTTAGCTCCCCAGAAATGAAGGAATTTACTCCATAAACGGAAAACCTGAAACGAAGCTGGATACAAGAAATCCTAATACATATACGTATGCACAGCATGCGTGAAGAAAGGGGAATTCAGTGGAAACCTAATTGGAAGACGAAGTCGATCTCGCAATCCCCCTCTCTGGAATTCGCCTTCTGATTTGAATTTCGAGTTCCTTTTTCGATCATCGGCATTTAACAGTCGTTTTTTTACGCTACGGAGTATACGGAGCAGTAATCATTGATTGACTCAGTGACAGCAATGCTATGCCAATTGGTTCCCACCCCCCATCATTCTTAGCCTGGCCCCAAACCTTCTCCCACTTCACATTTGGAATGCCCTTGGATTGAGACATGTAAATAGATTTTTACTTATGGAGTATTTTAAGTAGGTCATTTGGGCGCAAATTATACCGTACAGCCGGTTGTACCGTATTTCCGATACAACCGGCAATTAGATTGAAGGAAGGGACAAAACGGTGACCGACAATCGATCTAAGGAGAGACGGAAGCGGGAGACAAGGAGCATGGAATCCGGCGATTGAAGAGGAGGGAGAGGAGTACTACGTTATAAGGTAAACAAATATTATACTCCGTAATTATATAAAACAGATTTGTGAAAATGAGTATTATGTTATTCCAAAATGAGTACTACCTTATTTCAGAATAAGTACTACATATTTCAAAATTAACGCTTATGTTTATACGAGAATGAGTACTGCACGATTGTACCTATCTCTAGGTATAACTAGTTGTACCATATACATGCTCCCATTTGGGAGGGAGAGAAAATGGTTTTTGAAGAATAACTTATTTTCCAAAACTCATTTTAACCCAAAAAAAGACTTCCCAATGTTTGGCTACAATAAAAAAATCCCCATAGTGAGTTGATGGTTCATAATGAGTGTCATTAGTTGGAACTATCGGGAGTTAGGGAACCGACAGCCACTGAAAGAGTTGGCAGACCTTATGTCGGCCAAGAAGCCAGATGATATTTTTCTAATGGAAACAAAAGGAGTGCAAGGTAAGGTTTAGGAGTTTAAGCGTAGATTGGGGTTTGATGGCGTTGAGCGGCGGACTGGCCTTATTTTGGAAGGCAAAGAATGTTTCTAATCTCATAACTTTCTCGAGGTATCACATTGATATTGCAATGTATATTGGGAAAATTGCAGCAATGGCGGATCACTAATTTCTACGGTAACCCTTGTAGGGATCAACGTCAGCCCTTGTGAAGCTTACTCCGTTCATTGAAAGATAAGAGCTCTTCGCCTAGGGTTGTGATGAGGGATTTTAATGATATTAGAGCAGCCTCGGAGAAAAGAGGTGGTTGTCCCCGGCCTTTGGGTCTCATTGAGGGGTTTAATGTGGCCCTTCATGATTTTGGTTTATTTGATTTGGGAATGGTTGGTTATCCTTTCACTTGGGAATAGACCTGTGCAAATAAGGATCCGGCCGGATCTGGGCCGGGCTGGATACAAATTATTAGCCCATTTACATGGGCGGGTCTAGCCCGGCCTGAATTTGATGGACTAAACTCTTTACCCATACCCGCCCACCTTAGCGGGCCGAACTACCCACCGGGCCGCCCGGCCCGGATAAAGCACCAAGAAAACTTTTTTTGCACAAAAAATCCAAAAAAACATTGAACTTGTTTTAATGTTTAAAATAAAATCACCACTCACCAAATTTACATAGAAAGCATAACAGAGGTATTGTTGCATAATTAATAAACATATCATACTAATTCATTAAAAAAATATTGGTTTTTGTTTAAGAGAGGTGAGTGAATTAAATCATTATACATGAACTATAACAATTTTTCAAAATTATATTGGCCAGATAATTAATAATAAAGTGAATGTTTTTGATGAATATGGGCGGGCATGTTAGCCTGTATGGGCTAAAAGTAACTTGCATATCCGCCCAAATACAATTCGGGCTCGGGCCTGCCCGCCCATGTGGGTACTAAAGGTTGTCCATATCCGTCCTTATTAAAGGGCGGGCTGACTATTTGCACAAGTCTACTTGGGAGCACGTTAGAGGGGCGGAAAATTGGGTTGAAGAGAGACTTAATTGACAGAGTAGTTGGGTCAGGTGCTTGGAGCAACTTGAGGCTTCATTTGCAGGCAGTCCTTTTAGTTTGAAGAACATGTGCAATCTTTTTTGCTCTTTTCAGCTTTTGGGCTTCTTGGTTGTTTTTTTAAAGATGTTGCATTATCGTCTATTTGGTCTCCGGCTTGTGTGGAGGATTGTACCCAACCATTTGGTCTATAGCATTCATTGAACATGACTATAATAATAATAATAATAATAATAATAATTTGTTAGATTATACTTAAAAATATAATTTTTTATAATTATATTATTCTTAAGTTTTTAGTCATTTTCATAAGCAATACAAAATAATTAATGTTTGAATATTTTTAAAATAATTCAAATGTATATATAAATAACCAATGGATTATAAAATAAGTATCAACGACTCAACGAAATTTTGCTGATATTAATTAGATAAAACAAAGTTTTAAAATTTTAAAATAAATAAAATTACTACCTTCGTCCCGCTATATTCGTCCACTTTTAATTTTTGGAACTGTTCATCTTAGCACTTTGACTCATCAAATTCTCTCAATGTGTATGCCTGAATATAGTCATGTGTGATCTTGTTTGATTTGTATTAACATATAGATTATTAATATATAATTTTTATAATTTTTTAATATACAAATTACAAGATAAAATGAATTAAAGAAGTGTATTGGATGGTGTGCAAAAATGAAAGTGGACAAATACCCTGGGACGGAATTTTATTTACAAAAAAATTACTCTCTCCGTCTCGCAATTTTTTTTAATTTCTTTTTTCATTCGTCCCAAAAAATATTTCTCATTTCTATTTAAATATTACTTTTGTCTCTACTAATTATTGACATGTTTGTGGCATTTTACGGTTTTTTACCTAGCACGAACATACCATGCTAGAAAGGGTTTTGTAATTCTCTAAAAGAAAAATCAAAACCACACATGCCACCAACCAGCGAATTGAAGGTCATTACTCTCTCATACGCCCTTCCTTCCGCACACCTAACCCCCCTCCCCTTCCTTCAAGGCACACAAATAATAATAGGATTATGCTATGTGTACCCCAAGGTTTGTATCCCAATTTGTACCCCGCAGTTTTGCACCAACACTTTGTGTTGGTTTAAACGCACCAACATTTGTGTCCGTGTAAATTTTTATTAACGCATCAACACTTGTGTCGGTGTAAACCATCGAAATGTTTGTGCAAACCTGCGATTTACAAATGAGGTATATTTTTTTGGTCTAAGTGTCGCATGGTTCATAATAATAAGATGTGCAGATAAGAATGGCTTGGCCCCATTTCTCTATATATATAAAATTCGAGAATCATCAAGTTGTAAAGTCAGAGTGTGTGAGTGGAAACAATTTAATTTTTAGTCGTCTTCCCAGGCCAGAGCTCATTATATTCTTGTCTCTTTTCATCCCTTTCAGGCATTTTTCTTCTTATTAGCTCTCCCCATCCATGTAAGTATATACCCTTTCCTTTATTTACATTACACAAAGTCAAACAAGATCTCTCTTACTATTTATTTTTTATTTGTATTTTTCTTTTCACTAATTTTTTCCCCTCTCACTAAAGATAATTCAAACTTGAAATTTCAAAATTATGTTTTTTTGGGGGTCTTTCTTGTTTTTGCAACTGAGAAAATACTGGAAATATTTCACAGAATGAAGTTGATTAATTTTTCCAAAAAATTAAAAACCATCCGCAATTTCCGCAAAAGAAATCTTGTTTGGTTTGTACTCTCAATTCTAATCATGAACAAGAGAAATTTCTCTATTTATTTTTCCAAATAAATAAATCATGAAAAGGTGGGGTTTTTTTTTGTGCAGATAATAGTTATTTTGTGAATCTAATACTAATAGATTTATTAGATTCATTCTTGAAATGTTGGAAGTCAAAGTTTTTCATTCTTTTTGAAATTTAGTTTTTCGAGTGAACTAAATTTTCAATTTGTATTGCATATTAATACAATGAAATAAAATTTTGAATGTTCTCAACGACATAAATCTAAATAAATCATTTTTATACTAATATACCTTATGATTAATTGAGGTCCAAAATTTTTTAATTTCACTTTGATTCGAAAACCTCAAATTGAACCAAAAAAAAACCAAGACAGAGATTGTATCTATTTTCTTTAATTATTTGTTGAAGTTCTCACTTCTTTCCTTTAGAAGTCAAAGTTTTTTCTTTTTCTGTACTTTCATTTTCTTCAGCTAATAATGGTGTGACAATAAACCCAAGAAATATCATCTAGACAGACTAAAATTGGGACGGAAGGAATATTTTAATGTAGGATTTCACATTAATCAATATAAAATACTAATTAACATTAAGAAATAAAGTCTTGGTAACTTTTCCAAGATTTGTGTGTTAGAGTTCAAAACTTAAAATGATGTAAATAATTGGTGTAATAATGAATTAGTACCCCGTAATAAAAACAAAAACAAGAGTAACTTCTATAAATGGTCTTTAATAATATATACATATAATTTTTCATGTTTAGTTTTCAATTCCAAAATACCCTGGAGTATTACATAAATAGTTTTCAAATATTTTGACATATGATGTTTGACTAAAGTTTTTTTTTAAAATTATTTTATACAAAAATAGTATGAAATTTAAAAAATTACATTTTAAAAAATTACATCAGAAGATCTACAAAACTAGAGGTGACATGACTATATTATTTTATCAAATGGTTAACAAGAATAGGCCAACAAAGTGAATACAATTTGACTCTGTAATTTTGTGAATAGTAAACATGAAGATAATTTTTGGACGGAGCTTGAAATAATTTTCAAAAAAATGAAAATTTTTATCCAATATTTTAAAATTTGAGACTAAATGACCATAAATTTATCATAAAAACAACAATCATATAGTTACTGAGCAAAAAAAACAACAATCATAAAGTTACCGAGCATTATATAGTGAAAGGTAACGAATTTTTAGTTTCTATTATTGGAGAGCTTTGTCGGCTGGAAATCAGGCAATGGGAAAGGGGAGATGTTGCATCACGTGCTTTCCAGCATTGCACGTGGCCCTTCATTCAACTTTCCATATTTTTTCCCAACTTATACTCTCCAGTCCTGTCCAAAAAGAGTTTCTAGTTAACTATTCCCAAACCATTTTTGGGTTGAAGAATTTTTGAAATAGTTTTTAATATATAAATTTTATTTTTTATTTTTAAACTAATTTTCATACTCCTTCTGTCCCACAATATATTTCTTATTTTGAATTTTAAGGGATTTAAGAAGAGCGTATTTTGGTGTTAACTTTCCAAAAATGTTCTTGGATGTGATAGGTAAAAGTATATGTGATGGATAGGTTAAGATTTTGATAGGGGTAAATGTGACTTTTTAATAGAAATGAGAAAAGTTTTTTGGGATGGATGAAAAAAGATAGGATAAAGGTTTAACCGCAACAGGATGATGTAGGTGATACGGAATCGTATCGGGATAGAGAAGGATTTCGAGCACCTTCAAGCTCCAAGAACAAAAGAGGCGAGAAAGAGAGAGATTAAGGTTTCGGAGAAAGTATTTTCTTTATTCATTGATAAATAATTCATTGAAATGGATACATTTATAGGTAAGACATCTAAAGAATCCTTACCATAGAAGGAAACTAAATAATCTAGGAATCCTAATTATAAATGGTAACAAATATCCTAACAATAGAATATTACTTTCTAATAATAATATAATTAACTAACCATAAATAATAATACTACCTAATATAATAATAATAACCACTAACCATTAATAATAGTAATAATAATAATAATGAAACACTCTTGAAAAATGACTTCTGGAATTCAAATGGGGATGACGATTTCCGGATTTCGGCCTTCATTTTCCATTGACCAACTCCCCAATCTCCATTGACTTCCATTTTCCCATATAGAAAATGGAGAAAATGGCTTCTAGAAGTCGTTTTCTTGGTTCTCAAATAGACCCAAACAGTAAAACCACTTGTTTTTACAGTGTGTTGTATTAACATGCACAGTGCTAATTTTATACTCACCACAATAATTTTCATAGGAATAAATTGTGTCAAACATTTTATTAGTCATATTCTTTCCACTGAACCTTAACTTATTTTACTAGTTTGGCTACAATGGATGAATATTGTGGTGGAAGTTGATAAAATGGAAGAAAATGACAGAATGACCACTATTTGTTTTAATCTATCAACAAAATGTGTTTAGGGCTCATGATTTGTTGTTGATGATCATGCTGATTGGTTGAAGTTGTCAATGGAATAATTACTCAAAGAATGATCTCAAATTGCGAGCCCGTAATTACTTATTTGCCCCCTTTCGCTCATTCGAATTTGTGTAGCATAGAGTGTGGATAGAGAGGAGGCATGGACAACGGGACAAGAGAAAGGTTGTTGATTGGTTCGGAGGAAGAGAAGGGGACGGGTGATTTGAAAGTGAGAGTTTGTGACGAATCAAAGAAGATATGGAGGGTTGCGTTGCCCGGTATACTCTCAAGAGTGGCTTCGTTCGGGAGCATTGTGGTCACCCAATCTTTCATTGGACACACTAGTGATCTTGACCTTGCTGGCTATGCCCTCGTCCAAACCCTCACCGTTCGGTTTGTCAATGGCATTTTGGTAAATCCAGTCCATACCATAACCTCAACATTGCATCCCATGTAAACCTCAACAATGAACTTATATGTTGCATTTTTTTTGTAAGTGCAGATAGGGATGTCGAGTGCGACCGAAACACTGTGCGGGCAGGCGTATGGGGCAGGGCAGTACCACATGATGGGAGTTTACTTGCAAAGGTCATGGATCGTCGACTTCGTCACCCTAACAGTTTTGCTCCCCTTCTTCATCTTCGCGACCCAAATCTTCAAGCTGCTGGGAGAACAAGACAACATTGCAAACTCTGCTGGGTACATCTCCTACTGGTTCATCCCCTTCATCTACAACTTTGTTTTCAGCTTGACCATCCAAATGTACCTCCAAGCACAGCAAAAGAATCAGATCATTGCCTGGCTGTCCGTGGCACAGTTTGTCATACATGTCCCGTTGTCGTGGCTGCTGGCTAACAAGCTCGGCTATGGTGTCGCGGGGGCAATGGTAGCCCTGAGTGTTTCTTCATGGTTTGTTGTGATCGGCGAGTTTGTGTACATATTTGGTGGTTGGTGCCCCGACACGTGGAGGGGGTTCACTAAGGCTTCTCTAAAGGATCTTTTGCCAGTTGTGAAGCTCTCCATATCATCCGGGATCATGATTTGGTAATGGGTCCTCTCCATCATGTAATTTGTTTTGTTCAAATATTGCCAAAAAGGAGTCTTTATGGTAAATCATTCACAAATTATTCATGGGTTTTGATTTGAAGCCAAAAATTTACTAAATCTCTCCAAAAAAATTGCCAAATCTTTATGGTTTTCACTCTTTTTTTATCTGTAGCTTGGAGCTGTGGTACAATGCTGTCCTTGTTTTGCTAGCAGGGTATATGAAGAACGCCGAGGTTGCCATATCTGCCTTCTCCATCTGGTAAGCTGTTCACGCCTTTGTAAAATGACTGTTTAGTCCCTCCCTTCCCAATGAACTAAAACTTGTCCTCTGCAGTCTTAACATCAATGGATGGGAATTCATGATAAGTCTCGGCTTCCTTGGCGCTGCTTGGTAAGTTGTTATTTTTTTTCCCCTTCAATAACAAAACCGTAACAATAGTTACTCCGTATATCTTCTTGTTGATGAATAATAGTGTCTGTTTAATTAATGTGTAGTGTTCGGATTGCGAATGAACTTGGAAGAGGGGACGCAAAGGCTGTGAAGTTTTCCATTAAAGTCCTCGTCTCTAGTTCGGTTATAATAGGAGTGTTCTTCTGGCTTATATGTTTGGTGTTTGGCAACACACTTGGCTACTTATTTACCAAAGACAAGGCCGTGGCGGATACTGTCTCAAACCTTTCTCTCCTTCTTTCCTTCTCTATATTGCTCAATAGCATTTATCCGGTGCTCTCAGGTAAAACGGACGATTTTACCATGGCAAGATTTACATTATGTTTGGTTCAAGAAAGAAAAATGAGAGAATAAATAGTTTTTCATGTTAGAGGAAAAGAACAGAAAACGTAAGAAGAAAGGGAAACATGATTCCTTACATTTTAGTAAGGACAATGAAAGAAAACATCTTTCTTTTCCTTTCGAATTCCACAAACCAAACATGGGGTTAAAGAAGAACGAACTTTAAGATTAGTGTTAGAGTACAAAAACATTTGTGGGGCATCAACCAGAAAACTTGAGCTTTTGGTTGGATTGGTTCCTTGACGATTAGTATGTTCCAACACGCATCCTACACGGAACAGGTATAAACATATAAACAAACATATTACCTTCTCACCATGTCTGGTAACTTGGTTCAAGGAATTTGATAGGGAAAACAAAAATATTGATATGAAAATCAATTTTTCTTGTTTGGTTAGAGTGAAAAAGAAAAGAAAAATGCAAGGGAATAAAATGAGAGCAGAAAATAAACTAAAAGGGAAAAAATAATAATTGGCGAGGAAAATGAGAAAAACCTTTTTCTTTTCTTTCTCGGTTTCTTCATAATTGGCTAAAATTCACCATTGGCCCTTCAACTTTATGAGTTGTGCACGATTGGTCCTTCAAGTTTCAAAAATCCATTAATAGTCCTTCAACTTTAAGAGTTGTGCATGATTGGTCTTTCAAGTTTCAAAAGTCTATAAGTAGTCCTTCAAGTACACGTCAGCCCTTGTCCTTTTGACATTAAACATTAAATGCTAAATGGAATTCTAGTACCATATTATACGAGTAAATTCCACCAAGTTTTGTAAATTCCATATAAAGTTTAGGATAGAAGACCAAGTTTTAATAATACCTCACGGCTTAACGCTTCAAAATTGTGTGTTTGGAATCAGGTGTGGCAGTCGGCGCCGGATTGCAGGGCACAGTTGCCATTATAAACTTGTGTTGCTTCTATCTGATTGGAATACCCATTGGAGCTGTTCTTGGATATGTGGCTCATCTTCAAGTCAAGGTAATTTTTTCAACCCATATAATGCAATATTTGTACATATTTTCAGCCTCTCTATTGAAAAAGCAATATACTCTTACATTTTGTTTCTTCATTGAAGCAAAGTTGGACTGAATTTTTAAGCACATAATTGTTTTGATGTGAAAATGGGATCCCATTTCTTCGTCGACAGGGGATTTGGATTGGAATGATTTGTGGAGTCATCACTCAGACACTTGCATTGTGTTTCATGATGTGGAGAACAAACTGGGATGAAGAGGTATTTACACATATTTTTGCTTCAAATAAAATTAAAATCTCTTATTATTAGATAATATGAAATAAATATTATATTTAATTACTTTCCCTATCATATTGTTTTCCTTAGGGTCCGTTTGGTATACGGAATTGATGGAATTGGAATTGAATTGGAATTGAAATTCCATGAGATTCAATTCCATAGAATTGAATTTTGTCAATTTCCAATTCATTTTTTGCACTATCAATTTCAAATCCACATAATTTTTGTCCTAACAAACACTAGAACTGGAATTGAAGTCTTCAATTCCAATTCCATGGTTTGAATTCCATGTACCAAACGGGGCCTTATTGTATTGTTACCATAATTGTTCTACTACTGTGATTAGAACTTTCTCATGTAATCTCTGTAACTTCATTAATACTTGCAGGTGTCCAAGTCCCAAAAACGACTCAAGCGCTGGTACTTGAAATCTTCGGACGTGTCCCAACAAAATCCCGAGTTAGTTTAATGTTTGGTTCGGTTCGGTTTTTTTCCCCGAAAAACGGAGAAGATGGCCGGTTTCTAAAACGATGATGCAGAGAAAGGCAACACTTTTGATGATGCAGTTGCCTAGTTTTCTAAAAGTAGGCAACTTTTGTCTAACTTTGGCTGTTGCTGCAACATTTGATTTTCCCACTTTTTTTTTTTTGTTTTTGTGTTGAGTTCTATTGGAATAATGCTGAGCTTGGAATTGTCAAGGGTCTGTTTTGCCCTTTGCCTCTTAGTTTTAGGTTGTGTTTTGCCAAGTTTTGACATTTTCACCAAAAACAATTTGGTTGCTCAATATATGCACGCACTATTGTCAACAATCACAATGCATTTTCAAATTTTCATCTACTTACGTGTGTTTTTATTGATCATTTGATAAAATAACCG